AGGAGAAAAGGGCTTGGGAATGGAGTGATAAATACTGTCTTACAGGTTCGTGGACTCACACATTGCTCTAGTGGGAATCTAAATATTTGACTTCCATGGTGGTTGTATAGTTTATTATACGACTTAGTGGAAGCTATTGCTTAGAGTAGGATACCCCTCCCAGAACAAGCTGGGAAAACCTCCAGGAAGCCAGGGCACTGAGGAGAGTTTCCAGGGACTTAGGCCACTGCCACTCCCTCCCTTCCTGGAAAAAAGTGCAAAGTGCATCTTCTATCCCGAGGTCCAGCCATATGCTCCATTAAGCGTTGGAGGCGCCTTGCCCAGTTGTTATTTTAGTAAACCTGGTGTGCTCCTCGATTTCCCTTAGAGGGCCCACGGGGCAGGCCAGCACTGGTAGAACCTTGGTTTCCCTCCGATTGACCCGGGAGCTGTTTGATGAGAGTCCTGCCCATAGCATTAGTGCTGGCTTAGGAAGCTTGGCTTTCTTGTCATTGGAATGGGTGTTGCAACTCCTGGTTTCTGTGGATTCGGCCAACAACAGCAGAGTCGAGTTGATGTGGATTTTGAGGGTGTTATGGAGAGATGACATTTCAGAAGAGAAAAATTGATTTAAAAGTGATTGCTTTTCTCTTAAAAGCAGGGGGCATGGCAAGATAAAAAGAAAGAAATAATCAATTATTTGTTAAAAAATACATCTTCATATCTTTAATGTATCTCTGTCTATATTTGTATTTCTTTTTGTGCTTCATTGAATTGGTTTCCACTGTGTTTAAGTAGAATTTAAATAATTTATACATAAAGAATTTTAATAAATCTCTCATCAGGCCTGCAGTAGACGTCAGGGGTTTGTTCATTTTCTGATTTCCCAAGAAGAATAACATCTTCAGATTTCTGTTGAATTTTCCAAGCTGTTTAGTTTATGCCATAGTGTTCTTAACATCATTCGAGAGAAGGTTACCAGGAAGATTTACATTTGGAAGCTCAAGATAATCTTCATATGCATTTGAAGGAAACAATGCCCCTTACCCTCTGTCGCCTCACCCATGTGTTACTAGGAGAAATAGAAGTATCAGAAAAAATAATTACCTCTGCCTGGGACTACAATGCCCACAGAAAAGGAGTGGGAAAAAGAATATCCATGTGATGGACCAAATCGTCCCGCCCCCTGCCTTGAGCTGCCTTTTCTAGGAGCCAACTTTTTCCCTTGGGTCCTTGGGAGATGCTTAATTTTAATTGACTCAGAGGAGTTCTACTTCATGTTTGAAAACCATGAAGAAATGGGAAGTAAGTTAAAGAGTTCTACTCCCCCTCCACCCCCCTCAACACACACAAACAAACCCAAGGTGCTCAACAGCCTTAAAACAGTATCTTGGGCTGGTATGAGAGGCTAGGCTTGTGATAGGCTCTGTAATTCCAGCAGGTTCCTCAGAAGTTAGGTGACCCCTACCCACTCAGAGTGGGATTGTGTTGCAAACTTTGCCCTTTGAACAACCCAGTGGGGATGTTCCTCTAAATTGGATTTTCTCCTTTGTAAATGGTTTCCAAACAATTAAAAGTTGTCACACTAGTGGAGATGACAGTGTATGCAGGAGGAGATTTCATTGCTCTGAAATGCTTTTGTTTTTGTGAGGGGATAGGAGGCTAAATGTATCTCTAAGCCGTCAGCAGTTTCCTTGCCTGGGAGTTCCATTTTTCATTTGCTGCCCTCCACATTTTGATTTTCACAGCCCACGGAATCTCAGCTGCAGAGAAATAAGTGGACTCCAGAGAGGGAGTTACATTTTAAGAAACAGAACGATGACCACTCACATTTTAAGTTAATAATAAAATCTGAATGTAATTGGCCAGATCCTTCCAGCAGGGAGTGTGTGTAACCCATCATATGGCCAATGTGAGAGTTTGGCACTTCTATGGCATAGGAGAGGCCACCCTCATACTGCCAGGGGGAACCACTTAAGGGCTGTGCAGATGGAAGTAGAAGTGAAGAGTTATTTGTAGAATTATGTGAATTGTGGAATGGCAGAGGGCATATCTATTCTGCCTTTAAAAAATGCCTTTTCAATCTTCTACCTCTCTAGCTACTGCCCTCCCTGCCTCCCTCTTCTCTTTCACAGCCAAGATTTTGAAGAGTGTACCCTTACTGGTCCCACTCCTTTACCTCCCACTCACTCCCTGATCTACTTCTGTTTAGTTTCTATCTCCTTCCCTTAGACTACTGTCATGAAGATTACCGATGGCTTCCTTGTTCAAAACAAAACAAAACAAAACAAAACAAAATAAGGTTTTTAGTTTTATTTAAACTCTGACTGTCATTTGACATACATTACTTTCTATAACACTTCTCTCTCTCTCTCTAATTGTCTTCCTCTGGTTTTTCCTTCTTAGTCTGAGATGTCTTGCTGTTCCTTCCATAGTCTGCTCTTCTTACTACACCTACTTCCTCTAGGGATTCCCCAGCATTTTTGTAGCTACATTGTTCGTATGTCAATGATTCTTCAATCCACATTAGTCTTGCTCTAGACCCCCTATATTCTGTTTTCTCCTGAATGTTTCTCTGTATGTGGAATGCCCCCAAACTAACTCAAATTCAGCATGCCCAGCTACCTAAGCTTGTTGCTCCTCCTTTTTTTTCTTTAATAAATTGGATCATGATATCCTGAGGCATTCAAGCCAGAACACTTGGTATCCCCTTTGTTAATAGCTTCCTTATTGATGATCTCCCTGCTTCTAGTAGTGTTCTCCTATACATGTAATAGCCAGATTTGATTTTGAAGAGTAATTCAGACTATATCAGTCCTTGCTGAAGAGTATCCAATGACTTTTCATCACAAGTAGAATAAAATCCAAACCTCTTACTATGGCCCTTCCTGATTTGGCCCCTGGCCTTCTGTCTACCCCCTCTCTCACTCCTACTCCTTTGTTCATTCTGCTCCAATGACTTTGGCTGTCTTTCCATCCCTCACCCACCTCAGAGCCCTTTGCTGTTTTGTTGTCCACAATATTCCAACTCCAGATCTTTGCCTTATTGGCTCCTTTTTCTGTGGTTGGTTTGAATGTGACCTTCACAGATAGGAGTCAGCTGATCATCCCAGTGAATTGAACACCCTCCCTGGCCACCCCGATTGCTATTTTGTATTATACATTGGGATTTTCAGTATTTGAAATTATCTTGTTTATGCTTTCATTATTGTCACTGTGTTTATATTGTAAGCTCTATGGGAACAGAGACTTTGCTTTGTTTATTACTATATCCCTGTTACCTCAAAGAGTGCCTGGAACATGGTAGGTAACCAAAAAAATATTTTTTAAGTGGAAAAAAAAAAGAGAACAATGTACTTGGATCCTGAGATCAGCCAGACTGCTTGCAGTTCTCTGAATTACAACATAGTTGCACATTCTGCTTCCTCTGCCAATAATGCTCTCCTCTTTTCTCTCTTTTGGTTCAAGTCCTGCTTATCCTTCAGTACTTGACTTTGTCAGCTCTTTCAGGAAGCTCTCTTTGATCTTACGAGTTTAGCACCTCCAGCAGACTTCATAGCACCCTGTACATACCGTTTTCAGAGTACATATGCAATTATCATGAATTTTTTTGTTAATGCATTAGACTAACTTCTGCCAGGGATGGTGTTTTAGCCCAGTAGGAATCTATAAAAATACACTTGAAAAGCTCTGCTGAAAGGATTCTTTTGTTGCATTACTTGGTAAATCATAGAATCCTCTGGTAATATAAATTGGCTATCTCTCAAGTTCTTCCACTTGCTCAGTGTTGCATTTTAGACATTGAAGTTTTTTAAAACATGGGCACATACACAAACTTACTTATAGAAAAGACTCTCATCCCCACTAAAGTTTTCTATAAAAGGAATAATAACATTAAATATGATAACTACAATTTATTGTCTGTTACATACCATGTATCTCTGATATAGATTGCCTTATTTACAGGTAACTTTTAAGGTATAAATATTATTCTCACTTTATATATATGAAAATAGAGGCTCATATATAGTAATCTGTTCAAGCTCATATAGCTAGTAAAATAAAGCTGGGATTTGAATTCGGGTCTCTGGTTTCAAAGCCTAAGCTCTTTCTGCTACACCATGCTGCCCCCTATGGGACAAGCCCACATTTCAGTACTGTTTATTAAAAATGCCAATTATTGTAAAGCTTACAAAATTGGAACTCATAAGCTATAGCAGTGATTTTCAACTGGTAATAGGTATTTCATGTTTTAAAAATTCTTGTGGCACACTGGTTGGAAATTGCTGAGCTGTAGAATCAAGAAGGATGCTTTGAGTGTCATTATTTTAATTGAGTAGAAAAATGGCACTAGTCCCAGCTTGTCCTAGGCAAGAACATTATATTGACTTTGACTAGTATGCTTTCTCTCTGTTCATAAGCATAAAGGTGTTTTTTAGAAATTTGTGTTAACCAACCCATGTTCTTTGTGGTTAGCATTTGCCATGTAAATTCAAACTTGATTTCTAAGAATGGAGGTGACTTGCTAGATATCTCCTCCTGCTTGTCTGTAAGTTGTCCCCTGCTTGTTGTATCCATGATGATGCCAACTTACTTATTTGGTCTTAGGCTCCAGATTCTAGTTCATCCAAGGTTTCTCTCTTTTCCACCTCCCATGCCAGGACATTGGTGCCCTGTGGGTGGGAAGTTTGCCCTGAACTCTTACTCAGGTGGGATCTACTTCCTGACTCATTCCTGTCAGCCTCATCTCTGCTGTGTGTCCTTTTGTATCTTGGAAGCTTGGGATAGAAAGGGACTGAATCTTTCCTGCCCCTAAATGGAATTGATCTCAGGTTACTGCCTTGGTTTCCTGCCCCTCCACAGCTCCAATTTTATTCTCTTTATGTGTTTAGACTGTTACCACTAAGCAGTGTTTCCTACTGCTTTTTGGACCAGTGCCTCAGCACAAAAGAACATCATCAGTGGACATAAGACCAAGAATCTAGTGATCGAAATGTATAACTTGAGATTGTATTGCTTACCACTCACTGCCTTTCTTCTGTGCATCTCTGGGGACGGGGATGGTGAGGGAAGACAGTCTATATGTGATGATGTTGAGCTGATCTTCTTTAGGCTCTGCTCATCTGAGGCATCTATTAGCTTAGTGATGGGTAAGCCAGAAATCGGTTGTTTGTATCTTGCATACTGTAGAGCATCCATGATCCATCTCATTTCACGCCAGACTTCATCTATTTGCTTTGAAATAAAATGTTAAAAGACATTAAGTCATTAAACCAGTGTTAAAAAAGAGTAAGTTTCCTTTACAGCCCAGGATGATTCATTTTCCAAAGTGTTGCTTTTGAGCAAGAGTAAAATATTTTTCACATAGGTTTAAGTCAGAAGATACATCTTCTTTATAATTATTTGTGTTTTGCGTACCTGAGAGGCTATATCACTTAGTGCAATTGCAGAAGTCCTGGATTCTGGCTGGGACCCACCACTTATTAGCTCTGTAGTAACCTTTGGCAAGTCACTTGACCTCTTTGAGCCTTTGTTGCTTTATTTGTGAAACGTGGACAAAATATGTCCCCTTTTGTACTGTACAAGACCGCTATGATGATAGGGTGAGATAATGGATTTGAAAGTGCCTGTAAAAACTGCAGGGTACATTTCTCACACATATGAAGGGTTATTCATTCTCAGCATATAATGAAATATGCCTCATTAGGATATTATGGGGAAGGCATATGATAATGTCTGAATTTTAGAAAATGCACTTGAGGAAAAAATGTAGTTTTAGTTCTATGTGAACTAGAAGAACAAAGCATTACTGGAATATTTTGATAAGCAGAGGTTCTTGGACCTATTTTAATAGAAAATAAATAACTTGATATATTAAACTTATTATTTTCTCACAAATAAAATAAATTCTTCTAAAGTACAAGCTAAAGAGTTCATTCTTGAATAATTTAAATGTCCTTACATTTTTAAGGTAGTCCATGTTAGACTGGTACCATTTTGATTTCTGGGTTACCAAGGTGATTTTAACATTTTCATTATGAAGTATGATAGTCATTTCTCTAAAGCCTCTTAATGTAAAAGTCACTCATATTTTTGTGTCTGCCTTTGCAGATGATAGGTATTCTCCCAGATCTTAATAGACAGTGACCATGAACTTTCTGGTTATTCTGACTTTCCCCAAGGAGGGACTGCTAGTAACTCATTTTTTTCCATGGGACCCTGGAGCTGGTGATAGGCTTTGTATCTAATTTCACTGGGTGCCTTGGGCAAACTACTAACTTCTTTAGGCATGTACTCTACTGTAAAAAGAGGAGGTTGGAGTAGATGGTGTCTCATGTCTCTTTAATCTCTGATGCTTTATGATTTATTTTTGAAGAAATTTGGAAAGTTGGTGTTACTCAGCTTTCAGGTAGAAGGTGCTCATTGTATGTATACTGCAAGGTTAAGATCTCTCTGACTATAGAAGCTTGAAAGATAAGGGACTATCCAGTGTTCTATTTTATTTTCAAAATTCCTTCTAAGGGCTTTAATCTATACTTAATGAATACACATCAAAGAATATCTGCAAACCTGGTGCTCCCAATAGAGTAGTCTGAAACTGTGACAGTCGGCCACATTCAGAGTGACAGGCAAGCTGGAGTGAACTAGTGAATGGCTCTGCATGGCCAATAGCCATATTCCCTTGCTTTCTAGTTCTGTCCTGTCCTGCAGTGGCAGGGCTTGGCAGAGTAGTCAGGGCTGGTAATGAAAGCATAAGTTTGAGGTTCATGCAAACTTATTGTTAGGCAGTAAGTTGGGCAAGAAGTTCAACTGTGGGCAGGCCCATGAGGAGGCACCGAGCATTGTAAAGGGAGAAATCTGAATGAAGTTCAGCTGAAGTGGGAATCCCAGGCAAGGCTAAGACCACTATTCTCAATGGGATTCTTGCTTTCTCATCTGGCTTTCATTGTTTCTACCTCATGTAACATACTCTTGTCTCAGTATTTTGTTGATGGCACTGTGTGACTCTGCTCAGCTTTTAGAAGGCCTGCCAAAGCAGGGACTGTGATACTGTATCTTTCACTCTTGGCTGTGCAGAGTAAAGTAGGTACTCAGTAAAGGATTGCTCAATGAGTAAATGGATGAATGAATGAATGCATGAAATTAGTGGTTACCTAAAGATCTCTACCCTCAAAAGGAGTTACGAGGATTAAGTAAGATAATGTAGATAAGTGCACTTTGTAAACTGTTCATTGTTATGAAATTGTCAGTTGTTGCAATGACAGTCATAATTATTGTAGTGGGCTGAATGTGGCCTTCCAAAAGATATGAGGGGGGACCCAAAAAACCCTGGAATTATCTCCTGGAATATAGCCTTGTACTATAGGCTTTTCCCACTAGGTAAGTGTTCTGGGAACCCATCTGTATCAGTGTACACCAGCTGGCATTGTTGTGAGAGGCTGCGTTCAGCTTCTGTGAATTTTCTTTGAAGGCTCTTTTAATGTGTTTGTTCATTTCATGATGGGTGATTTACAAGGCCACCTGTCCACACCACTCTGTGTGTTCAGCAGTTTTTGACCAAAAACAGCATGACCCCCATGCTCCACCTTCCCTATTCACCCAGTCTCACCCCAAGTGACTTTTTTTTGTTTCCCTGAGTGAAAAAAGTTTTTAAAGGGAAATGTTTTGCTGATGTGGAAGAGGTGAAACAAAAAATGGCAGAAGCATTAAAAGATATCAAAATTGACAACTTCAAAAAATGTTTTGAGCAGTGGAAACAATGTCTTGATAGGTGTATTGCATCAAATGGAGAGTACTTTGAAGGTGACTGAAGCTTAACCATGTAAGAATAAATACACAATTTTTTAATAAATAAATTTTGTGTTTTTTGCCCGCCCCCCCCCCGTATGTGCATGTCCTAATCCCTGGAATTTTTATATAATGTTATATTTGTGAATATAACATTATAAGTTATATAGCAAAAGATGTGATTAAGTTAAGGATTTTGAGAGGAGGAGTTTGTTGTGAATTATCTGGGCGAGTCCTAATTCTAATGATAAATGTCCTCGTAAAGACATTCTCATAAGAGTGAGGCAGAGAGAGATTTGGCAGAAGAGGTGGGGGCATTGTGACCAAGGAAGCAGAGACTGAAGTGAGGTGGCCACAAGTCAAGAAGCTGGAAGAAGCAGCGCACAGATTCTCCTTTAGAGCCTCCAGAGGGAGTGTGATCTTGCCGACACCTTGATTTCAGATTTCTGGCCTCCAGAACAGTGACAATGAATTTCTGTTGTTTTAAGCTACTCAGTTTGTGGGAATTGGTTATAGCAGCCACAGGAAACTAAGACAATTATTGATTGGTAACTCCTTCTTCTCTGCGGATAAAATTGTTTCAGCCTTATAGCTATGGACGAATAGTGAGGTTTAGTGTAGAAAATGTTTAAAATTATGTGTAGAAACAGTGTTTACTTCTTAATTTTTTCAGTGATGAAGTGAATAGGTATTAACTGGAGAAAAATTAAAAGCATAGGTAGAGAGAAGCCTGTGGACTGAGTTTAACGGATTTAGCTAAGTAGCTCTAAAAGAAGTACAATTTTCACCCATTTTACCTTATACTGTTGATCTAAAAATAACTGACAACATAATCCCCCTGATTTTAGGGTCCAAATTCAGCTTCTAAAGACTTGCTGACACGTTTTTAAAAAGAAAGACCATGAACTCCCTAGGTCTGTTGGTTGAAAGTTCTGCATCCATTTCTCACCCTGGCCTTTAAAAATTTTGGTTTTCATCCCATAAATTACACTCCTTTCTCTGTACTCAGGCAAGATAATATTTTTATTAAAATGTAAAGGTGATTGGTTTTCTCAGAGCACAGTTACAAGGTGCTTGAGGGGATGATAGATTGGCTATATTTAATGAGCTGTGTTTCTATTACAGCTTAGGAGCATTTGAAGCATTACAGTATATAAATTATAGCCTAATTGCCCTTTAGGCTTTAGCAGCTCAAAATACGCTGTGCTCCAAGTCTCTGCTCTTTGACATTTTTGCTGCGTGTGCTGTCTATAAAGCCTGTGTACCTTATCTATGATTTTCTACACCTCTCCTGGCCCAGCCCTCCCCCTTTCTGGCTGCACTCCTTGGCTTCTTTCCTCACTGTATTTACACAGACTCCCTTGCTCTTTACAATGTTTGGTTTGTGTAGTAACTTCAACACTGTCTTAGATCTGGAATCATACAAATGCTCTCGTGGCTGGCGGTTGCCTCTGCAGGTTATGGTGTGTTGTGGGTTGAGCTGTGAATGCCAGTGGGTGAGTGGCTACAGCTGGTTTTCATTCTGAGTGAGAGATTGAGAAGCCCCAAATAGATAAGGGGATAGGTGCTATCACATTGTCTTCAGTCAGTGACGTTACCCATGTTGTATGGAACAGGGCATTCCACTGAAGTCTGTGGGTGCAGAGAGGTGGTCTGGTTTTATCCTGGCCAAGAAGTTTTTTTTTGGAACCTTTTGGGAATTGGCTTTTTTCCAAGTCTATGTGTACCTGGCTAGGTGGAAGGAGAGTATGTAGAGGGGTTCTCCAGTTACCTGCCTTGGGAGACCAGAGTAGGCTAGAACTTGGAGGAATTCTTGGCCTGGCCCACATAACAGTTTGGTGCAGGGAAAGAGAAAAGGCAGTGGAGCTCTAGGCTGGGTGAAAAAGAAGGTAGCAAGGGGGTACAGGACGGGTGCAGCCAGGCACTCCTGGAGGGGTTGAGACTGACAGACTGGAAAACTCAGCCTTCTTGTTGGATGAGCATACTGGATTCAGAGAGGCTTAAGTGGAATAAAGCAGAAACGGAACCTGAAGTGAAGCATGGTTAAAAACATGCTTCTCTAAAAATAGTTACGGTTGTTAAAAAAAGTCATAAAGTGTTTGAGTCACCAAGGCCCTTAGAAGTCATCTAGTCCAATCCTTTCATCTTGTATATGAGGAAATTGAGGCCCCTGGAGACCAAATGAATTGTTCAGTACTCCAAGGTTTGTTAGTAGACGCTTCTGGCCTAAAAATGTATGCTAATTGTCTTCTGGTCATTATTCTTCTTAATATGCTCCACTGTCCCATGTACTGGGTTCAAAAGGTAAGACAGTCTTTCATATTCACCTTATGCCTCATTCTTCCTTTTCCCACCCTTCAGCCCTATCTGTGTTTCTGGAAATAAATGATGTAAATGTTTTGGATTTTTAAATGCTATATTCTCAGGTCAAGAGAGCAAGTAACTTTCTAAAATGTTTGTTTCTTTAGTTTGAAAGTCACCTAAGATATCTCGTTCACAGTGTGAGAGAAGTTGGATGGGATTTGTCTGCTCACCCTTTGCAATTGTATTACAGTATCTTCTTCCTGAGTACTTAGTAAACTCCAAGTCTTGCATATTCATGTTTCAAAGCATTTTCCCTTCTTAGTAATAAATGAATGGATGAATGAATGAATGCATGAATATATAATTTATTACACACTTACGTGCAGACACTTTGCTGAGTGCTTTACATGCATTATGTCGTTGAATTCTCTCAGTAACACTGGGAGCTAGCACTCTTATCATCATTCCTATTTTACAGATGTGGAGGTTGGGAGTTAGACATTTATTTGTCCCGTTCATTGCATTTTCTCATGTTAGGTCATCATTACTTCTCACACATACAATATCTTTGTATGTGGTTTCCCTGCATTTAGCCTTCTTCTCCTTAAATCTCGGATTAATGTGCAAGTTATGTAGTAAACATGGCCATTGAGAGAGTCCTTACTATAAATAACGAGTATGGCCATACTGGTGCACATGGGAGGACTATCCTGCCCTCCTTGAATCTGTCCTAAACAGCTACGAGAACTTAAAATATACCTTCTCCAAAACTTTGGCCAGGGCCCTGCTGTCTACAGAATAAGGTGCAGATCTCTTACCCTGGCCTTTAATGAAGCCTCTGTCATCTGATCTCATTGCTGCTTTCCTTCTTTCTCGCTTATCTTACTGTTGCCCTGCACTCAGTTTCTGCCCGCCCAATCTTGACTACTCATTATTCCCCCAATACTGTTTTTTCTGCTGTTTCTGCCTTGTCTGTTTACACTTTTTCTTTGGATCCCCTGCAGTCTGTTTCTCCTGACAAGCATCTGTCTCTCTCGGCCCTGCTTGGATCTCAGACATCAGTTATTTTCTTTATGGCAACATTTCTCATACTCACAAATGTAAGTTCATTTTTACTTCTTTGTGTTGATACAAAATTGATTTTACTTTTAGCACCTAACTCATTTTACAAATTGTATTTATATACATTTCTTGTTTCCCCTAGTGAATTTTAAAATCTTTAGGGTTAGGGATCATGTCTAATTCAATGTTGTATCTCCCTTACAGTGCCTGACATCTGGGTATTGAATAAATATTTATCAAATTGAACTGAATGTATATCATAGTGATATTTATCACAGGGCTATTGCCGTTGTACTCATCTTGTGACTGGGTGACTATAGGTAGAAAGAGCCTGAGCCTTGTCCAAGGGATTTAGAGGCAACGTCAGGCAGATCCACGTTCCCTTGATGCCTAGTCAGTACCCCTGCCACAAGATCCTGAGGTGGTCAGTGTAAGACCTTTCCAGACAAGACCACGGAGAGGGAACACATTTTTCTTACCTCTGCAACTGCACATTAAAACGTCATCTTTGCCAGAAAGTTCAGATCATGAGCAATCTTAAGGCCAACTTGATTTAACACAAGATAGTGGATTATTCTCTTCCCTTTTCCTCTGGGGTTATGAGTTAATTAATACAATGTTTCTGTTGGATTTGTCAGTGAGAAGAATAATGCCAAGTAAGAATAATGTTCTGATCACTACTCCTTATGATGGTGATTTTTCTCTCCATATGGGAAACCACTGCTACCTGCCACAGTGGCTGATGTAGCACTTAGTAACAGTGATTTATCTGTAGTTTTTTCTTAAGCCTTTGTTTAAAAACTCACATTTCCTGGAGTTCTTGCACGCTGTGGTCTTTAAATTAGCCCAGGTTGCTGTTCTTATGCTTGTTTCTCATCACTTCCACCCCACCTTTTCTTCCTTCCTTTTACCTTGGAAGAAACAAACTATTACCTGAATGAAATCTAGAACTTGTTGGTGTCTTTGTTTGGCAGCTGCAACCTCGCTGTCTGAGATCGCTTCCCGCAGGGACTGCTGCGTGTTCAGAGAATCCAACTCCACAACAGCAGAAAGGCGGCAATACAGACTAATAAATTTCTCCCTGTAGCTGCAAAAGTGAACTGGAAAATGGACAAGCAAAATAAAACATGTTAAGATCTGGTATCAAAACAGAGAAATTCATACCTCAGAGAAAACAAGTTGAATGAAAACATGATTTATTAATCCTATCAGTGGAAAATATTAAGCCATAAATAAATTATAAATGTGCTCTTAAGGAGCCAGTTGTCTGGCTTTAGTCAGACAGTATTCCCTTTTAAGGTTTACCAAGTCCTGGAAAGGTATGGGGAAGTGGGGTTGGCTCTAGCTGCAGTTTATGATGTTTAGCCCCTAAAGTTGGGGCTGCATATGTGTATATATATGTGTGTGTATATATATACACACATACACACAAACACATATGTACACACACACATATAAACTTACATATATATACACATATAATTTATTTATATACTGGGAAAATTAGTTTGCTTATCACTTTAAAGAAAAAAAAAGCCAAGTAAAAATTTGAAACTTAGTTTTGATTTCCATGTCTGATTTCTAGTATGCATTTTGTGTGCCTCTTTCCAAAGCCAGACGTCCCAGAAGATATAAGAAATGCTTTTCTCAGGTGTCTTTTTGTCTGGTTGGAAAACTTCCTTAAGAACCTAGTGTGATAGGTTTTGACCGTCCTCCTCCTGCCTCTCTGTTCTTTAGCCCCTGTGGAAGGATGACAGAGCTGATGCCTTGACAGACTACTTTTGTCTTTAGCAGACTTGGCCTTCCTCCCTCAAAAGATAATGGACCAGAGGCCAGGGTCAACAGTCTAATCTTCATCATGGAAGAGGAAGAAAGGAGTGTGGGACTCAGCCTGCTGCAGACAGCTCGAGTTGGTCAGATTCTCCACACTCCTCTGACGGGCTGGGATCGTGTACTGTGCCTTTAAATTCCAGTGGGATAAGGAGAGCATCCAGACTCAGAGTCCTGTAGTACCAGTGTCTTCCTGGCCATTGCTGAACTTGGACACTTATTCTCTAGGAACCTCACTCTGTATACTTCTGACCCATACCAGTGCATTCCAGCCTTTGGAAATAAACCTGTAGTTACATAGTAGATATGTGAAAATATCTTCATTCTGGTGTTTTGGTGAGAAAGTTTAGGAAGAATATCTAGGTACTTTCCTTGGGCCTCTTTGCTGTTGATCCCTGATACCTAGACCTGGACATTGAAGGAAGCTAAAAACCATAAGACCTTAAATGGGGCATCTGGTCATCTCTACACTTGAGTGAGGAAGCCCCACTTTTCTGCACATTGAGAAATTTCTCTGACCCTACAATTCCCATCTTACCATGCCTGCTTCCTTGCTTGATTTCCTCATAGGATGAATCTCAGGGGGGTGGGTATAAGGGTAACCTGCTCTGTTTGTATTTCCTCAGGTGCAAGCGGAAGAGAAGAACGGGGTGAGTCAGGAGGGCTTCAGTGGCTCCTTTTCACTCCAGCTGTGCACCATTTCGAGGAGGTATTTCTTAATTCGGGTAGTCTCAGTTCTGTTTTTTTCCCCTCTAGTGTCGAATCCTTCCTTTGTACTTCTTCTACTCCAGTACTTCCTTGCCTGACACGTAGAAGAACTGATTTCATAGAGCCTCTTAGTAAATGGCAAGCTATTGAGCTTCTCCCAGATGATCTCCGTTTTCCTGCTTAAAGACCACAGAGGTCCTCCTTGATTTCAGGACAAAATCTGAACATCCTATCACCACCAGGAAAGTTCCTTGCAATCTAGGGTTTGAATATGTCTTCAATCGTTGTCTTCCGTCACGCAGTCACCCTCCCTCCTCCACCTCCGCTGGCATTGACCCTCAGCTTTGGTCAAGCTGAACTTACTACAAGTCTTTTTGTACTTAATATGCTTTTAAACATGCCTTTCCTAGTCTTCAAAGACCTTTTTTTACCAACACCTCTAGTTCAGCTTCATCTGATACTTAAATGTCTTCTCAGTGAAACCTTCACTGACACCTCTTCCCTTCCAGGCTGAATTAGTTTCTCTTTTGTGCTCCTAGGGCACTAGTTTCTAAATGTTTCAATACACTTATCCTGTTCATTGTTTACTTGACTGCCTAGGTATTAAACTGATTTCTTTGAGGGCAAAAACCATGCCTCCTATTTTTATTTCCCCAAAACTTGGAACATGTAGCTTCCCAATTAATGTTTATTGATTGAACAACAACACAATGCACACCCTGATCTGAATGAAGAGGGCAGCCCTGTCCTCCAAAGTCTCCTTTTTCCCCTCTGTTCTCTCTCTACTCACTGTGCTCTGGATTCTCCTGTTTTGAAAGGTGTATCCCAGGTCTCTGATATTTACTGGCAGTCTGCAGGCAAGAGTCACCATTACTTTGTAGCTTGCTCTTGACACTTGTAGCTCCCTGAATGTCTCTTTATACCTTTCAAGGAGGGATTATCTCCTCTTAGTACTTGACAGATGCCCTCTCTTGGCTGGAGAGTGAAGAGTGAAGTGCCTCACAGCCTGCCTTTCCAAACCAAGTTGTTAAAAAAAAAAAACCATCTCTTTTCCATTCTTTCTTAAATATGACTTCGAAGATAGGGCGAGGGACTGAAGAGTTTCTTTGAAAGAAGCACTATCAGCCTCATCGAAATTCTATAATACCACGGTGTCCACAACTTTCTCTTGTTGTGTCTCCTTGCGGTAGGAGCCTTGGATCAGTGGGTGGTCTCACAGCGCCCACACCACCCATGCCACTCACCACAGTGACCTATGAGGACCTTTCAACTCCAGCGCTTCACTTTCTCGCTCTAGTGGTTTGTATCCAGAGCCTTTAATGTTACTTTAACAAATGTTACTTTAACATAGTCTTTTGTGGTTTAGCAATGATACATTTGGTAGCCATCACTGAGGGGGGGAGGATAGACTGGAAGCTTCTAATTTTTTTCTAATGTGAATCACATGCCTTCTACAGACAAAGTGTTATAAGGGTACAATAATGCATTATCTGGACCACATTACTAATTTGTTAGTAATTTACAAACTCAGACTGATTTTTCTGTGGTGGTTTCTCTATATATTTTTTGATAGAAGATAGAAGAAGATTAAAATGTAGTTGGCACTGACAGTGGAAGCCAGATTAGGAGTATAGCAGAGTGGAAAGACTCAGGCTTAGAGATCAGAAGGACTGGGTTTGAATCACAGTTCTGCCACTTACTGCCTGCATGTTAGAGGGCATGTAACTTCTAGGAGCCTTGGTTCTTTCATATCTAAGTCAGGGGTAATAATGAATGCCTATCTGGTATTAAATAATATAAAAAGTGCCCAGCACAGCGTATACCACACATCAGATACAAACTGAGTGTTTGTTTACAACCCTACGCCATTCCCCCAGGAGGAATGAAACATCTAGTAGTTAAAATATTAGAACAGGATTGAGATTAGAATATTCTCCCTAACGATCCCTAACTCAGTAAAATCCTAATTAGTCTGGGTCATGTAGTCTAGTTTGGAGGCTAAGTAATCAACAAGATTACCACCTGGGGTCAGTTTTAGTTTCATGATTCTTTGCCAAGGTGTCGGAAAGAACCTGGGCACAAGATGCCCCTCTAAAGAGTCTTGGTAGTAAATGAGTTGACAGTTGGAATTCAGGAATGGTATTTTAAATCATGAAAAATGGGCATTAGGAATGAGGGTTGAGACTGTGCCATTTTTTGTAAGTCTGTGGCCTGGATTCCATTAGGCTCAATGCCTGGATATCCCACAGGCACCTCAAAACTCATCATTTGTCAAACTGAACTCATCATCTCTCCCCTCCCCCCAAACCTGTTCCTCTCCTCGTAATTCCCATTTTTGTAGATGGCAACGTTATCCATCTCAGCACCCTGTTCAGACTCTCTGGCTCCTCCATCTTGCTCTTCAACCACATTAAATCAATCACAAAGTCCTATTGATTTTAACTCCTAAATTCCTCTTGCCTCTGCTTTCTCTTCTGTACCCCTGCTGTGGCAGCCTTGGTTTTGGTTCTTTTCATTGTCCACCTGGACCACTCTCTTAACTGTCTCATTGTCTCTAGTATTTTTTATTTCTTTTCCTCTTCTGCATTCTTCCTCCATAAAACTGCTAAATAACAATAAGACCATATTATTCCTTTTCTTACATCTTTTAATGACTCCCCACTGCCTACCTGATAAAGTCTAACCTCTTTAAGATGGTATAAGTAGCTCTTGGTGATTCTGGCCTTTTTAGTTTTCAGTTTCATCTGTCACTCTTCCTCAGATGCCTTAAGCATCTGTCACAATGAGCTACTAGGAATGTACTTAATTGGGCTCCATTTCCCCAGATGTCTAAGCCTTTGTGCACGCTCTTCCTTTTGCTTAAAATGATTTTCTTTTCCTTCTTTGCCTTTTCTTTCCTTTTCTGAATATTTATTTGTCAAGGCCTAGTTCAGACATTATCTCTATGAGAAAGGATTAGGTGTCTTTACTCTTGAAATTCAACAGCCTACCTCTTACAACAGTGCTTCCATTGTACTGGGACTGTTGGTATAGATGTCTGTATCCTCTACTGGATTCTAGGCGTCTGGTGGGCAGATTGTGTCTTATTATTGTCCTTATATCCAGTCCCAGCATAGTACTTGGCATAGTGGAAACTCAGTAAATGTTTGTTGAATGAAGGGTGTAGCCAAGCACCAAAGTATGAAGTATATACCATGCTTCAAACTTAAAAAATTCCCCAGTTTTTGCTAGTCTTGCTAGTCCAGTCAGTATGAATCATAGACCCAAAGAAATCAATAAGAATTAGCTTTTCCCACCATAGGGCTGCTGTCAATTTTGACTGCTCACGGGATCAAGGTAGGGCCACCTTCTCAGTGCAGGCTAGGCACATTCTCAAGGGGCCGCATCCCTGGACAGAGCTTCTAAGGGCTCACGATGCTGCTTTTCCTTTTGTTTCTGGAACAGTGTAAGTAGTGACCCTTGTCAGCCCCCAGGCACATGCTTTATTACTGTAAAGGAGTGTTACCCTGCTTTTATCCAAAGGATGGGGGAGTGCTAGCCTTCAGGCTGTGGAGGGGGAGCAGGCTCTGAATTGTACCACTTTGCCTCAGCTCAACCCCTGCTCACAGAGATCTGACAACATCCTCCTCTGCGACAGTTTCTCTCCCCCATCAGTAACTCTGTGAAGAAACACCTTATGGGTCTAGTCTAGTCTTTATTCCAGGACACAAAGGGCTAAGCTCTTTATCATTTTGTCCTTGCTAGATCTATTTAGTGCTGGAATAGGCCCAGTTGCAGTTTTCCATAGCTGGTTAGCGAGTTATTTATGATTCACTCAGGCCACTGGCAGGAACATGTTGAGTTTGCCAGATCTCAAATACTTCCATTGGGACAGGGATGACTTATACAAGTCAGACTGAAATATAGTGTAATGCTTTATTCTATTATAATTTACATAGTCCCATAATTTGCACCTTTTCAAACTTTATTAGAATTTCCCATGTTGTTAATACAATTTTCTGAGTTCCAACTCAATTTCCAACAGCTGCCTTTTTCTCAGAAATGCTTAGTGTATATGTTGACCTTTTACTCTGGACCTATCTATGAAAGAAAGAAGTCCCTACTCATAAGAAACAAGTAAAAATTGCTTAGCATTTTTCTTAGAGGGGCTTAGGCCCACTATAGCAAGTTCTTAGAAGTTCTTATAGGTTTTATTAAATGCCTGGTGGGCTATGATAATCTTTCTCGTGCAAAACTCTGATTACTTGAGGATAATATTCTTGCTAAGGCCCAGCAATATTATAAAAATTGTTGCTGGTGGTGCTGAAGTACAGTGAGCATTGTACTAGAATGTATTAAGTTCTTGCTACTACCAACATTTTCTCCTGATCCTTAGAAAAGACTAATTGAAGTGTGTATGCCAATGGAACCAGACTCAACCAAGTGGTCTTTTCTGGAAATTTACATGGTCTTCATTAATTAGCTGGATCATCATTGATGTGGTTACAAAGGAGGACCAGGAGGATAAGAAGGTATGTTTTACTCTAGGAAAAAACATCTTAAAATTATGATTGAGAACCAGGCTTTGACCTATGGCCTGGTTTTTATAAATGAAGAATAGCATCTGATGGTCTTACACTGCATTTAGTATTAAGAAGAGTAAGGCAGGTCAAAGAGGTAAGCACTGCCTGATTCTATTACTATGCTAACAACATCTCTAGTTCCCACAGTGTCTTTTTCTCTGTGTTCTAGGCAGTACTGCTTCAAGTGTGAACCATGGGTTGTCAGCATCAGCTGAGGCCTTATTGGAAATGCAAATTATCCAGTCCCCTTCCCAGACCTCCTGACTTAGCCTGTCTGGGTGGGGCTCCAGGAGTCTATTTCATTGGTAAGCTCTCCAAATGATTCTTATGCACATTCAAGTTTGAAAAGCACTGTTCTAGGGTATCATATCCTAAAATATGTTTTCTGTGACTTTTTAATAGGTGTCTTGGTCATTGTCAAATGAATTTGGAAAATGCTGGGTTAAACAAAGTTAAACTTTGATTTTTTTTTGGTAGGGGAGGACTACTGGATTTTGTGGAATTTTTAATTTGTTACTCTACCGCTCACAATTCTCCATTGGATTCCCAGCACTCTTAAAGAAAATCTAAAATCCTTATCATGGCCTATGAGGTCCTACACAATCTGGCCCCTCTTGTCCCTCTAATCTCATTTCCTGTCTCTCTTGCTCTTGCTCATTACATATACTCTACCTACAATGATGACTTAGCTGAACAACTCTCGAGTTGAGGCCTTTGCACTTACTGTCCCCTTTGCATGGAATCTCAGATCTCTGCTCAAATGTGTCTTCTGCAGAGAGGCCTTCCCAGGTCACCCAATGCAAGATTGCAGCTCCTGTCACTTCACCTGAGTCCCTTACCCTGATTTGTTTTTCTCCATAGCCCTCACTGCTGTCTGACATTCACAATATTATTTTTGTTGATCGGCTTACTGTTTGTCTACCTCACTGGAACGTAAACTTCATGAAGAGTTTGTTCATTGCTTATTCTTCAGTACCTACAATAGTGTCTGGCACATGGTAGATTATTTAATAAATATTTATTGATGAATTAATCAAATGAGTGGAGAAAGAAAATTGTGGAATAGAAAGGAACAACAGTGGGACTAAGTGTGCCTGCCCAAGACAAGTCCGTGAGCTTCCCGGAAAGCAGAGGAGAGAGGAAACATGCAGGGCTTGGTTATCCAGGGCCTGGGGAGTCATATGACCTTATGATTGGTGCCAAATCATGGACTGTTCCCACGAGAGCCACTTCAGCATGGGGAAGTGAATGTTATGTATTTTTTCTGTATTTATGGAACAGTAATGACCATCTTACACAGAATGGACTCCTGGTTAGCTCTCCAGTGAAGTGTTTTTCTTAGTGCTTTTTCCTGTTGTCAATTATCTGTCCTTGGGAAAGCATTCACCTTCTTGTTATCAGTAGACATTGGTCAAATTTCTGTGTTCTGTGTTTGGTACCTAACTTTCTCTCCTATGTTGCTACTGGCAATTGGACTTGTCCACTCAGATATTGAATTAGTACCTTCAAACTCAAGATATTCAGAGCTAAAAATATCACTTTTTTCCCCAAACCATTTTCTTCTCTGATTTCCATACTTCTTGTAATGACAGCCATAATCTTACAGTCTTTGAGGCTAAAAACCATGGGGGTACTGTAGAAGTGTCTAGCTTCTGCCTTTTCTCATTCAAACAGTTGCCCAATCTTGCTGATTACTCCCAGTGTTTTTTATGTCTGTGTATAAAATACATTTATGGTTTTATTTCTACCTAGCACTGGGCTATTATAATAATCTCTAAACTATTTCCTCACCCCAATCCATCTAAAATAGATTTTTCAGCCTGACTTCTAACAATACTGATTAATATGGTCATAACTTGTCCATGTATCTTTAATGTCTCCTATTTCCTCACATCTCTTCTCTGGTCTAGCCAAACTGGACCATTTATTCTTTTCCTGACTGTTTCTGAGTTCTTATATTCTCATGTCTTTCCTTGTTTTCCTCTACCAGACAAAAAATCTTTTCTTATTATCTCTGTTTATTAACATCCTGTCCACTATTTAACACTCACATCAAATATCCTCTCCGCCAAGGCAGCTGTCTAATATCTTCTTTGAGAAAATGTGCATTCTTCTCTTATTTTAATATCACTTAATGCTAGTGATTTTGGCACATTCTACCTCATTCAATAATAATTTGTATTTTTATTTTACTCCTACCTCTGTATTGAAAGCCCCATGAGGGCAGAGCCTCTGTTTTACTAATCTCTGAATTTCCACATTAGGCATCTGGTGTATATACTTAGTAACTTGGATTGAAATACCTTGATCCAAACTATATTTTGTAACAGCAATACAGTTATATCATGGACTAATAATGTTCTATGGGTGGGGAACTCATTAAATGGTCACATTCACATCCAGGCCTCTTGGGAGTGGTACGGCCAGTCATTTGATACAGAAAAAGTACAGAAAGTTTAAGTGATTGCCACTGCCAAACAATAAGTGACTCAGGACTCTTCAAGTCCCATTCTGAAAGTCTGATTCAGACTTCTCTTAATAACTTTCCCTCCTCTGGAAAATAACGATTGCTGTTCAGGAGCTTTTGGGCATCTGAACTCCTTGGAGCAAGGGAAACCGAGAGGCTTAACCCATTTATTTTCAAAGGAGAAATGCAGGTTCAGATGCTCAAGTCTCAAAGTGAGGCATCAGGCAGTTGCCTGGTCTGCTTCTAAATCTGGTGGCCAGGGAGCAATCCAAAGAGAGTCTGTCAGGATTCCACTCACCTAGTCACTCACTGCCCCACAAATCCTATAGTTTATCTGAGCTGATGAAACTCTTGCTAATTGCCTCCTTGTTACAAGATGAAACATGGGGGAGAGACAAAGCCTCCCTATTCGTATTCTCAGTGGGCAGCAGGGGTCTCTGCAAAAACAGGGAAGCTGGGGCCCAAGCCATTCATTTCTGAAAATCAAGACAAGATCTTTCACCATTTAGAATTCTACTTTATAATCACAACATTGCATCCTGGGAGACCCTGTCAACTTTTCAAATGGTGTGCTAGAATTTTAGAGTCTATTTCATATCAGAGTCTGTTTAATAAATCAGCACTTTTTTTCTCTCCAAGGTGACACACACTCTACATTTGAATTTCAGTATTTTTTTCCCAGTTGGGGTGGGGGCAGGGAGGGAAGGGGGGGGAGAGAGATGCTTTTCATGAAAACATCAGTTCTTATATTTATGTTTTAAGAAAGCAAAGGGGAGGCAAGAAGTGCAGCCTGATAACTGAACTTTCTGTTTAGAATTCCCTCCTCTCCATTGGGCCTTAGCTAGGTTTCAATAATTATTGCTCAGGCACATAGTCTTGGAGCTTTGCTTTCTCTCAGACTTGTACACAGTTCTAGGAAGGGTTGTTGCCAAAGCCATCATGTGATTTATTGACCCTCCACTGGGACAAGGGGGAACAGATATAACTTTGTGATTTTATTATAAGGAGGCTGGGTTAATATTTCTAGGTGAAACAAGCTACTATACCAAGTTCAAACATCTGAAGAGGGAGGTTAAGAAACCCTGAGTGTGGGGTGTAAGGATTATTCTGTCCTGGGGCTGTACAGACGTCGTCTGAGGCAGGGAGCAGGAGAAGAAAGGACACATTGTGACCCATTTCCAACACCTCCTGTGTGTAGAGGCGGAAGTTCCTTGCCTGCAGAGGGACACGCGCGGAGGAAAAATAGGAGAGTTACAACATGGCACTTACATAAACAACACCAAACTGGCATAAAACATCTAACAAAATTACACGACTTCAAGCTTGGAATTTTTATACAACATAAATATTAGGGTTCAGCCCATTTAATAATGCTATATAAAATCAAGATTTAAGGCAGTAATGTTCCACATAAACTCTGAAAACAACATTTATGCTTCTTATAAAAGCAGAAAATGATTGCATTCTGTGGGCTTTTCAAAATGATGAATATAATTACATGAAGCAACAAAAATGGATTGAATTAAAAATCCACTAGTTTCAATTTAAGTTGGTTAAGGGGGAAAAATGTAGTTTCTGGCCAAGGACTGAGAAAATTTTACAAGAATTAAAAAAAAATGTTGTATGCACTCTTAGGCAGTTAGGCAGCCTTCTCCCAACATGTATATGTAGCCCAAGAGTCACCAATGAAATATGAGCTGCTTCAAACCTGCTAAGCGCAAGAAACCCTTTAATAGTACCTACTGTCACAAGTAGACCTGGTAGTTTTTTTTTTCCTCCTGAGTACACAGCCAACCCTGGAATAATTCAGTTGCTCCCATGGTGTCTTTATGGCATCTTGTGCAATTTAAATCTTTGTCGGTGTTGGCTGTTTGGACTAGCCTTGCAGTATTAACTTAGAATCAGAGCAGTAACCCAATGGAAGGACACTCTTGGAGTCTCTATCCCCCTGCCTCCATGGGTCAGGGGCCAATTCATAGCTGTCTCTTATTTAAAAAGAGACAGGTACTCCTGTAACAGTCTTCCTGTTTATAGGCTAACCTTGGTTAATTTTGTGTGTGTGTATAGAGATGGTGTATATGTGTCTGTGTTCTTGGGGGTGTGCTAGATGGGAGTAGGAGGTAAAGGTAGGCAAAAAAAAAAAGGAATAAAGTCAAGCTAATTGTTATATCATGTTAACTTACTGGACAGAGCTAATTCAACGTTTACTATTCTCTTCCATGCCAACAGCTTTTCTTGAAACTGCTTATTAGTGGAGGTTAGAGTTGTACTTTTTGATTTAGATAAGACATTAATTTTGACAGTAAATTCTCTGTGGAAAAATAGCACAGCATAATCTTGACCATTGGTATAAATTATACTACCACTAGTCTTCTGATCTTAGATACATGATTTGTATATCTAACTATACATTTATTTATTGATTCATTTATTTTCCTTGCTTTGTGCTATCCTGAACCTGAGACTTGGTATCTTTCCAATGATTGGACTAGCCAGTGATTTTTCCTTGACCAGACCACAGTAAAGTAGGGTCTAGGAACCTTGGAAGAAGTCAGCACAGAGGAGCTAGAGAAAAGGGGCAGAAGTGCTGTCTGTCTACTTGTAGGCATCAAATTCAAAATGTGCTTGCATGTACAAAGTGGAAATTAAATATATGAAAATGAAATATATACATATATCTTCTCTTGTGTTTTATGTTACAATGCAGTTTCCATTAGCCATAAAAAGAAGATAAAAATGGTAAAGACTCGTACCTGGTGTAGAGGTATATTGATCTGCTTAAGGAGAGCTTTCACTGCCATCTGGAGCTCGTAGAAGAACAATTGCATGGGGCAGTCAGAAGTATGATCCACACTTTCCGTAGATTCAGAGCCAGAAAGCTTTTGGACCCATTCCCACTCCTCTCTGTATGTTGAGTCAAGTTAAAATTAGAAATATAACAAAAGTTCAGAACACAGCTCAGAACATTTTTATTGTATATGTCCAGAACCTGGATAACCAATTTTTGGTGGTTAAAACTAGATGCAATTTATGATAGTGGAACTTTTAGCCACCCAAATGGAGTTTAAAATGAGCTTTTTCTAATTTAAGCTTAGTTCACCTATCAAACCACCTATACTTCAGGACAGCAGGCCTAATTTGTATCACTTTTCTTGATTTTTTTTTGAGATTGGAGCTTTTAGATATTTTGTAATTATTTCCTGTCTTCATTTTTCTTTCCCCGAAGATCCGCTGCAAGTCTAAGACCCTGCATTTTACCACATGGACATCTGCTGGTTAATTCAGCAATTAATTAACCACAGGACTCTTGTCCAACTCAGGCAACAAACCACATGGCACATTTCAACCCTGGCCTGTTTGAAGAGCGGGGTCTATTTTGGTGCCTTTCCCCTTCCAAAAGCTTGAGGAGAATCACAAACAGGAACACTAGGCAATTCCAAAAAAAGAAAAAAGAAAAAACCTGGGGACACATATCATTGCATCTACCCTCCTTTCAAACCAGTCATGCGTGTCTTTATTCTGCATGCTCTAGAATGCTTCCTAATGAACTTTTTCAAATGTCATGCAGAAGGGAAGGGGAAGAAAGGTGGTGGGAGGAAAGCACATCTGGTTTATCCCCCAAAGGTTGATCTTCAAAAGGGGCTTGAAAAGATCAAGGTAAATGCCTTTTGGGTAACATTGTTTCCACAGGTATTTTAGTAGGAGTCTCTGAACATATTCAGTTGGCCCGGTTTCTCCTCCTCATAATTCTTCAGGGAACAGCAATACGCTCTCAGGAGCAGGCTAGAGAGGAAAGGCAAGCCCTCCTCTTGGGGATGGAAAGAGAGAAGGTGCTAACATATGTTCCTGCTCGTATGAAACCCTCTGAGGGCTCTCCCCAAAGGGTTATCCTGCCTGGGCTCCGATCTGGAGTCAGAAAATGAAATTGGTTGTGGCACGAGCTTTCCATCAGAAACACTCTCTTTTAACCAACTACCCTCTTAGAGAAGTTTCTCTTTTCAAGATATCTGTTTCGTTTCAGTTCCCACACTGGAAAAGACGATGGAAAATTTACCCTTTGTCCCAATAAAAGAAAAATCAAAATTAAATCCTACTTCAGTCTGGGCATATGTTAGCTTCATACATAATTGAAATCTTTGAGAACTTGCTTGGGAACTACTTTTCTCCCATCACTGATACTGAAATAAATGAGGGGATTTTCATTAGCACAAGTACACACCAAACCTGAAGAAGAGCATTGCTAAAATTGCATATTTCAATTTAGAAAATAAATTACTGGTAGGAATACCATGAAATATCTACCACTATCTAATCAGTTTAATCTCTGAGGATGAGGGATATGGAACTGGCAGAGTGAAGGACACTGGAATCTCTTGGAAAAGTGGAACTTGGATCCTTGACAAGGGAAGTTAGATGGTATAATCACTAAAAGATAGGGTCTAAACCTTTAAGACACAAATCTAGAAAATGGATGAAAGTAACCATTGCTGAGTCAAACCACAAATGAGCCTTGTAACCTCTTGGGAAGGGCTGATCCCTTATGTTGATTGTAGAAGTGACCACCAGATGGCAGACTTAAAGTCTAGGTGTAGTTGATAAGTGAAGGAAGAGAATATGGCAGCTAGTGAGTTCTTTGAAGAGACCATCATCATCATCTCCTTCATTGTGATTAACTAGTATTTAATAAACATTGTGAGACACTATAGTTACTAAACTTGCCCAAATATTAAATGACTAACTAAGAGTCTCCTTAGGTTAAATAAATCCGTAGGTCTAACTAGAATTTCAGGGTCTAATTTGTACTCTGAAGCCCAAAAAACTCTGGGGAGTTCCTTTTCTTATCCTTTCCTTTCCCTTAAAAAAACCTTCATATTAACCACAATTTAGTAGACTTTCAGAGGCCTGCTAGAGGGCTAGTTGTAGAGCTGAGCCAGATTACCAAGATTGGGCAACTTTCCCAAAACTAACAGAGTAATTCACCGTGATGCCAAACCATAGAGCAGTTTCCAGAAGCTCAGGCCTTGTTACTTCTCTTCTGCCCTAGAGAACCATAAAGAGTATAGAAATATAAAAAGTCTCCAGGCCAGAGGGCTAGGGGTAGGTGGAGGTCCTTTAAGATTAAGGGGAAATCAGTGCTCTACTAGAACCCATTTCCATAGTGATATTTAAGAAAAATGACTTACTAGGTTGTACAGAAAAGATATTGGAAATAGCAATGTTGAAAGGAAAGGGTGCCTATTAACCAGTTGGGCATCAGTGGCTGAACCATGAATAATATAGAGAGGGAAGTGAAAGGATAGTGCCCCCTTTAAATGGGCTCACTTTTTCCGGCAACACCACAGGCCCTCCTTATCCTAAAGTTAAACAGAGCTCTGCCTCTGCCCCAGGGTGCTGGCTCCTGAACACGTCTTGCCACAGAAACTGCATTGGGAAGTAAGACTTCATTTTCCTACTGACACGTCAAACCCACCACTCAAGCCATTGTTTCATCACAAGGAAAATCCAAACTCCTCACAACTTACTTGGAAATGTTACTGTTTTCACGGACCTTCACGTGGCAAAGAATGTTGGGTAACTTTTGGGTAACAAGAACTTTGATCTGATCCACAGAGCTACACAGCTTTAGATAGCCCAGATATAATCCGGGAGGGAGACGTTGATGACTCCTTTTGTGATAGGAGAGAATATCCTGTAGGGCGAAAACAAAACAAAATAAAACAAACAAAACAAAATAAAAAACACTCCTTGAAATGCAATCTCAAAACCTTTTTCTTGCTTAGGTGCGACCTGTCAGGAATTAAAGGAGCTGTAGGAGTAGTTGGGTGAGACACCTTGGATACCACCGTGAAGACTGAGGACAGCCAGTCTTACCTTCAGGAGAATTGTTTTCCAAGACAGGTAATACGTCATTAATATATTCTACATGCCTATTTTCCTCAGATTTCTGAGCTGGGGTAGCTGTGTGTGCAGTGATTGGGAATGGAGTGGTGTGGTGGAGGGAGATACTAAAGAGGAATAGAATTTAAAATCTCTGTTCTTGGAGGGCTTATTGTGTAGCTGGGGAAAAACAAATTTACATGTGTAAAGGCTGACAAAGCAGTACTTGAAGCCGTTTTACTTAGGGCAATTGATATCAGGAAAGGTCTGTTTTAAATGACACCACTTAAAACAGGATCAAAATTTTACAGTAAGTAGAAAAAAAGAATTGATTCTTTATCTTGAAAAATGAGACAATGTAATAATAGTAGATGTATATCTTATTAATATTTAAGTTATAGTTATGCTTATTCACTAATTCTGAAAATGAAGAGAGAATCAAGATTGATTCTTGTTTTGGCATAATTTTTTTTGGACTGAATTGTTTGATAGCTGAAATGCTGTCTCTCACATTTGACTTTCACAATGAAGAGGCTACTTTTTGCAAGAGTTTATGAGTTTCATATATTTTTGTCCTGGAATTTAAAAAATTCTTGATATTCAAGACTTTCTCTTATAAAATCCTTGTTTCTTTTACTTTCTTCACTTGTGAACTGGTCTACCACTTAATTGTAACTAGCTTTGCATGGGATTTGATTAGGCCTCTATGTCATTATCATGAGCTTCACAAAATTCTGTATCTTTTACAATATTTTAAAATTTACTTTGTAATAGATTTGCATTGTATTGTCACATCATAATATTTCACAGGCAGCAGAGACTGAATGAAGTTGCTGTAACAGCAGGTGCCAGTCTAGTTAAGCACAGAGGAGTGTTTGAGTAGAATCTTCTTTTATATGTGGTCAGTTCTCCAGTGAACTATTTAGGTTGTGACTTTAGCTTCCCTATATGACTGCAGTAACTCAGATAATGAATAATTGTAAACATAGTACCCCCCTCCCATTTCAGTACATATGACTTTTTAAACATTTGGGCAGTGTAGGGGGTAAAACACAGTAAAGAGTGATGAGTCAGGTAACTGATTATAGGGGAGGATTCCTGATTTTCAAAGGGGATAAAAAAAGAGGGAATCAACTCTACCACTAAGTGTAGGGAAGGAGAAGAAGAAAACAAACATTATACTTGTATAGAATTCTGTATGGAACAGAGAGGCACTGAAGCCTCCCTTGGCCACTACACTCTGAAGGATAGTCCCGCCTCTGTAGAACAGATGATCTGCAGCGTCTATCTAATATATGCTACTGGGTATTGTCTCCTTTGTCCCATCCTCTACCAAGCACATGAAATCCCAAGCACTACGGGAGACTTCAGGGCTTCAGGTATCCTTATATGATCACTACGTCTAAAGAGGTCGAGAAGATCAGTAAATAAATGATCACAATACCCTGCAATCAGGTTTATACTAGAGACAGTGTAGGCATACAGAGGTAGGAGCACTTATGTTTTTCTTTTTTTATGCCCTTTTTTGGAACTAGACTATGAAGTTAATAGTGTTGCTGTGTTTTTTATTGTTTTGTGTCCTTGGTGTATCCAGTGCTAATTCTGTATGCAATAGGTACACACCATGTGGAAATCAGGACAGTTCCCTGAAACAGAACATATGAGAATAGCAGAAAAGGGACAAAATAAGAATGGCCACAATTGGGATCACAGATGGTCACTAACTAGTATGTACAGAAAAGCAAAGGCTAAGTAACTTTTAAGATATTTGCTGAATAAAATACACTAGAAAAAATTTGATTTCATGATCAAAAGTAAAGAATTCTTATTAATATCAGGAGATTGATATGGTCTAACTTTTTAATGTCTTTAATCCTACCTCCTCAGAACAGATCATAGGTAAGTAGTTGACTAGAGGAGCTTTAGTCAAGGTAAAATTTTGAGAAATGAATAGGTAATTAAAGAGAGAAATGATTACTGAGAGAGGAAAAATGGAAGTATTCAGATGAGCAGAATTTGAATGTGCACCCTAGGGGTAGCTGCTGTATAAGCAGATGTGTCCACAAACCCACAGGTCATTATTTCTGAGGAGTGATGGAGAACTAGAAAGTCCCTGAAGATTAGAAAAGGGCAGATATCTTTGAAGTAGGAAAGGGAAGAACACAGGATGAGCCTAGTAATTAGAGACTGCCAACTTATTAATCTTTGGGAAAAACGAGAAAGAACCATTGAACAAACACTTTGCAATCACTTAGGAAATCCTGAGACACTAAGTAGGAGTCAACATTATTTTGTGAAGGGCAAATCATACAGACAATTTTAATTTATAAAAGTAAAAGAACAGGATCCACAGACCAGGGAGAAGTCTCCAGTGTAATCTGTTTCACTAGATAATCTGAAAAAGTAGAATCTATACCATATCACTTTAATAAGCTGAATATGTGGGTTGAAGATTTGTGAATACTGGAAATGGTGTGGGAATAGTACACATATTGAGTGATGGCTTAGTAAGTACTAGTCCTGGGGGGCAATCTTTTCAGCTTATTTATTGACATTTCAAACAAATAAATAAAAAATGTGTATCAAATTTGTGGGTCCCAAATTTGTTGTGGTTTTGATTTTTTGGAAAATAGTGATAAAGCTTTGAATGAGTGTGCATTGGAAAAATAAGCCTATCATAATTAGGGTTGAAACTTAATAAGAAAATGTGCTTGTAAAGACCCAAACCCAAGTACAAATATAGGATGGGTGTAAGTATGAGAAAAAACATGTGGGGGTGAGGATTGACCGCAAATAGAATGTGAGCTGGGAACATACTGTGGTTATGTAAAAGCTGACACCATTCTGGGATGGAGTAATTTACTCTTTCATTCAATTTTTTAAAAAGACCATTACTGAGCATCCACTATGTGTTTTCCTGTCTTTACATAGTCATTTAATCCTTCATTAGTAAGAATGTTTTGGGGCCTAGAAATACATGGGAAGAGAAAGAAGCTGTCCCATTCACATAATCTGGGGTATGCTAGAAAGGCCCCCTAAACCAAGTCAAATGCCTATGGGTTTACATATTGCCGCATTTGACCACTAAATAACAGTTCTAGACTCTGCTTCGTCCAAAGCCTCTTTTTATCTCTTATCTCCAGCCAGATGGATCCCTTTTTCATTCCCCATGCATGCCCTAATCTCTTTTTTTTTTAATTTTTTTGGTTGGTTTATGAATTCACTCATTCTACCAACTTTTATTGAGCACCTACTACATATCAGGCATTGTGCTAGGATATTAATGATATCAAGATGAATAAAACATGATCCTACCTTTCATGGAACTCACATTTTAGTATATGAGAACTACATGTAAGCAAGTTTTTCTAACCCAGTGTGATAAAGGCCATGAGAAAAATGTGCAAAGTTTGTTGTGGACCCAAGAGAGGGTGAAATCTACTTTTCTGTCTTCTGCCTCATTTCTTTTACCATGCCTTGTATTTTATTTTGTTTAACTCTTTCCTTCCTTCCTTCCTCCTGTCTTGATTGCTTCATCCCTCCTTCCCACTCTTCCTCTCCTTCACATTTTCTTTTCCTCTCCTTCCTCCATCTTTCCCTCTCCCATCTCTTTCTCTCTTTTTTCTCCACCTGGTGAACTTAACTCACCCTTTATGCCTCAGCCAAATGTCACCTCTTCTACAATGCCTTCCCTGATTTTCCAGGTAGAATTAATAGCTGCTTTGTCTGTGTTTCCATAGTACACTGTTTATGCTGCTATCAGGGTCTGGTTTAATTCTGCCTTGTATTACCTTGATTTGTTTACAAGTCTGTCTCCCTTCCTTGACTGAACTCCTTGAGACCAGGGACCTTGACTTACTCATTTGTTTTTCCTATAGCATCTAAGAAGAGTTCCTGGCACCTACTTGGTGCTGAAAAAAAATGTTTATTAAATATGAAGTCAGAGGCCCAGAGGGAGTGGGTCTGGTGCTGGGCCTCCGGGAGAGAATGTGCCACGCTGGTGCAGTGACCAGGAAGGGGATATCCTACCGCTCTTCACGGACCAGAGAGCCTAGGAGCCTATTAGAAGAGTGACACATAGCTGCTTTTCCAGTAACTACGGGGTTTTTCTTTTGCTGGGTAGGGGATGGAAGCTGAATTGTCCAGGGGTAGCAGAGGTCATAAATCAGGGGCTGGTGGCCTTCGTGGGGCAGCCCACCATCACTGGACTGCAAAGAATTTAAATTTTCTGAATTACTTTTTAACTTTTAAAAATGAAGAGATTTTATACAAGACTCTGGACTTTCAACTTTTCTTTAAACATTGGAAAATAGTTTAGCATTGGGACTACTTCCTTCTACTGCAATTAGCTGAGGTTGAATAGGGCTATTATTTAAATGAGACAGGTAATCTCCAGATTACTGTAGTCTCTGCTACTTCTACTGTTTTTTATTTGGGATATAATTCACATACCATAACATTTGCCTTCAAATGTGTGAAATTTAGTGGTTTTTACCATATTCACAAGGTTGTACAGCTGTCACTAGTATCTACTTTCAGGCCATTTTTATCATTCCCCACCACACACAAAAAAACTTCACATTCATTAGCTATCATTCCCAATCCCTCTTCCACCCATCCATGAAACCACTGCTATACTTTCTGCCTCTAGGGATTTGCCTATTCTGGACATTTCATATAAATGGAATCATGCAATATGTGGCATTTTGTGTCTGCTTCTTTCACTTAGCATAATGTATCCAAAGTTCATTCCTGCCATAGTATGGATCAGTACTTCATTAATTTTTATGACTAAGTAATAGTCTGTTGTATGGCTATAACACTTTTGTTTATTCATTCATCAATTGTTGGACATTTGGGTGTTTCCATTCTGGCTACTGTGAATAACTCTGCTATAAAAATCAGTGAACAAGTTTGTTGTGAAACCCATTGTTTCTTATATCCAGCCTACTTGACTCATTTCACTGGTCTTCCTGATACCAGTAGTTTTTGGTCCCCATGTTAGAGGGTGCTTGGAGTTAGAGGAAAAGGAATGTGCTAGGAAAAAAGTGGAAAAGGGTGCACAACATAGTAGGTCCTGGGCACCTCAGGTGTGAGAAGACCCTGGGTCCCCGGAAGTGCCAGAGAATGCCTAAGGAGAAGAGAAGGAGAACAAAGATGGGAGGAGAAAGAAGACAGGCTTCACAGTAGCTTCTCTAGGAACAAAGTTTTAAAAAAGGACCCAGAGAAAAGGAGGAGGAGGGTGTGTAAAACAGCATGGTAGAATGGGAAGAGTACTAGGCTAGGAGCCAGAAGACTTCGGTCTTTGTCCCTCCTGTGCTGCTTTTTGGCCAGTTATTTTCCTGACATCTATTGCTTTGTTTATGAATCGGTCACAATTAAATTACCCACTCATCCTCATTGGGTTTTGGATCAAATGATATCATAGATCTGACAAAGTATTAAACTTGAAAGTATAGTAAAAATGAGAGATTAATATTCAGAGAAATCTTGACCTGTGAGGCTTCCAGTTATTATTATTATTTTTTATCCTCACCCAAAGACATACTTATTGATTTTTTAGAGAGAGGGGAAAGAAGGGAGAGAGTGAAGGAGAGAACCATTGGTGTGAGAAACATCGATTGGTTGCCTCTTGCATGTGCCTCGACCGGGACTGAACCCACAACCTAGGCATGTGCCCTGACCAGGAATTGAATGTGTGACCTTTAGGTTTATGGGACAGTGCTCCAACCAACTGAGCCACACCAGCCAGGGTGAGGCTTCCAGTTATTGAAGTTACTCCTGAATATCATGGTCAGAGTAACTCAGAACCTTAGAGGAACCTCCCTATGGGGAATACTCTGATTGCCAGTTAGTTTGGTCAGAGGGACACTAACTTGTCCATAATAGCTTTCTTTTCCTTTCTTGGCAAGTGTGGGAAGGATTCCTCTCTCTTTTCCAAATATCTGAGAGAGGTGTGTTATAAAAGGTCTGGGACTTGAGAGGGTTAGGAATTTGTGAGGGTTAGACCCTGGAGTTTCCGTGGGGTACTAGGGATTAGTAGATTAATTATGGGTCCAAATTTTGTTAAAGTCTTTACCTGTTTTGAAAACCCCACTGTGGATAATATAGTCTCTATACAACTTTACCTTCATTCTTATGAAGAGGCAGAAGAAGGGAGGAAACGCCCTAAGGGATGATTGAGCCCCTGCTTGGGCCTTCCTGGGAGAGGAGGGATGAAGAGGGAGAGATGGACTGGGTATGCCCTAAGGACGGCCTAGTGTCGCTTGGATTTTTCTGAGTAGAGAAATATAAGCATCACTAACATTTATTGAACACCCACTTTGTACTACTTTTCTAATGTTTCATATGCTAACTCACTCTTCGTTAGAACCCTATGAAGTAGGCTGCTTTTTGCTTGTTTGTTTTGCAGAGGAGGAACTTAGGTGAGAAATTAAGTCACTTGGCCTAGTCACATAACTAATAAAGATGGAATCAGGAATCATACCCAGGCATCCTGATTCCAAAGTGTTATCTCAGAAGGGGATGTGATATAGTGGGAAGAAGCCTGGGCTTCCAATCAGAAGGCCTGGTGGTCATCAGTCTACTGACCCTGAAAAAAGACAGTGGTTTGTGGCCTGGAATTGTGGGAATTACCTAGTCAGCTCTGGGCAACCAGCATGACCTATCTCTACTTTCTTGGTGAGTTGGTGGGGCCAACTCCTGACAGATTTAATCTTAAGTCTCAGAGTGACTGGATACCAGCCCCAGTAGTTTTACCCCCCATTTCCTCTCCAGTGTACCTACTTGAGGAGGGGGTGAGAGGGAAAAAATTGGAGGAGGAGAAAGGGGAGTGGGGGTGGGTGGGAATGACATCAAGCAGGAATGTGCCAGTCAGCGGGGGTAAATTTTCCACTTGGATCTGTGTGGAAACCTGATCTTGCCTCTATTTTTGGTCTCCTTCTCTAACAACCTTTTGCCAGATTGGAATTTTTCTGCACCTGTAACACATTTTTAATGTAATAAGTCTAGGAGAAACCAGGTATTATATCATGCTGGGGCCTGTGCTGTGTTTCTAGGAGGGAAGGTAGCCCAGACCCCAGTTTATCCCTATAGGGGATTAGTGTATTAGTCACCCTGTAAAAGCTCAATTTATTATGATTTTTTAAATGTTTCTTTTAGCACTTGCTTATAAAAGGTGAAGAGGGGAGCCACGAATGTGTCTGTGTTCCCTGCCCCCACCTTTTCCACACACATACACCCTCTATCAATTCTCATATGAACTCAAATTCCATAACATGAAATCCAGAGGCTTTGACCAATTAGCTTACCTTTGCTACATTGAAATTTGTCCTGGTTTAGGCCAGTGTAACTAATGGAAAGGTGAGATTACTATACTAGCCACCCCAAAGTGGGGAATGGATATAAGTACGCTAGGGGCTTAGCTATTTAGGGTGGTCGTAGGAGACCACTGGGCCAAAGCTTGGATATGGCTTGTTAGTGTGGGGTTGACCCCTGTTTGTCCCCCATTGCTCAGATTGGCTGTCTTGTGAATATATGCCATGGGTTGCACAGGGCTCAAGGTTGATGTTTTCTGCTGGCTTTGCCATCTAACTGGGCGGTTCTATAGAACTCATCCCTATCACTAGGTTTAAAAAAAGAAAAAAAGCAAGAGAAGGAACAGCCTGAAGCTCACATTCACACAAGAGCATGTGAGGCAGTGTGATGGCATGGAGAGAGCTGCACTCACATCCAGATGTGGGACTGTGCCCTGCACCTACCATCCAGGTTAAAAGTCTGGATCTCAGCTGCCTGAGTTTGATTTTTGGTGGTATTCTGTTCTCAGGCAAGGTTTTTACCTTTAATTTTATCTCTCATTTCCTTCTCACTGAAATCCTGAGAGTCCTGCTCTGTAATATGATGCAATGTAGCAGATGAGAGCCTGCTTCCAATCAGAAGATCTGAGTTCAGGTTTTGGCTCTGCTGTTTTCTAACCGTGTGCTCAGTGGCAAATCCAAGTTGGTGGGGCCTGAAGCTAATACAATTTTGGGTTCTTTCCTTAAGGTAAAGAATACACATTTGTGAATGTGAAATTGTTAGGCTTCTTGCCAGGGCCTTGGAAGGGGCTTGTGCAAGTGAAGAGCTCAATGATACTCAGCCTTCATTAGCTTCACTAAACCTGCCTCTGAATTTGGCACATGTCATGAATCTCTTTGGGCCTGTTATTTCTCTCCTAAAATGGATTTAATCATGTGTGTCCCTCTCAAGGGAGTATATTAAGGAACAAGCAAGAGTAAATATGTATTAAGTTTTTTGTCCAAAGTGATACTTACATGTACAAAGTAATACACACATACACATGCAAGTGCAAATATATACATAGATACTCGTATACAGTCTAGAAATGTATTCTTAGTGTAGCCCATTCAGGTATTGGTATTTTGATTATACTATCTATGGATCCCTACTCAAACATTTGTCTCAATGTTTTTCATTGGTTCATTGGTCAGAGGCATTTTTAAGGTGCCCATTAGTTGAATGCCAGATCAGGAGAGTGATGAATAAAAATAAGCTTCTGAATCTTTCCAATATGTGGAATACAAACAATGACATGCCTCAGGACCCTCTCCACTCCATCACTGCATATGTAAGTGGCTTTTGGTATATTTCAGTGGAGCCTCAATGAGTGTATTTGGAACTTTACATATATTAGGAAATTGAAAAGACTTCATACCTGGATGGTTATCAGTAAAATGTCTAAGGCTGTTGGCTCCTCGGGTGTTGACAGAGACTTCCTCTGGCTTTGCAGCTTTGAGATCTGCATCCATTTGCCATTAAAAAATGAGTAGAGCATCTCCACCTCTCTGATGGTGACTATGAGGATGTTTCCGTGCCGGTCTTTAATGGGTTCGTAGTAAACTCTTCCCAAGTTGTGTGTTCCAAGTAAATTCTAGAAACAGATAGACTTCTGGTAGCTTAGGTGACACACAAACAAAGCAATGTAACTGTAACAAATGACACTATATAATTATCTGATCCTTCTGAGAAGCTGTTCTTTTTTTTTCGCAGACTTAAATCTAGAATATGTGGCATCATAGAAATGTACTTAACAGAAGCTCAAAGAAAATGTCTTCACCATAAGCCTGCAAAGATTATAGCAAGAGGCACAAAATTATGTTTTTTAAGCAAATTCAATATCTGTAAATATCTCTTACCCACATAGACACACTAGCACATAAACCTCAAGTTACCAGCACTTGAAGAGAATCCCAGATGTTTTAAAGAAAAATGCCTGATATTTCAAGTATGCTACTTGCGGAGTTTTCAAGAGATCTGCAGCACACTGGTGTGAAGTGGGGTTGTTTGAAATGAAGACGTGAATTGACAATGTAGCACATTGTACAGGTCCCCAAACGACTGCACATTCCCTTCAAGATAGTTTAATTGGGAGATTGGCCTGGTTTGACTTATCTGCATGTCAGGGAGTTCTGTGTATTTAAGGCTTTGTTAAAATTGTTTGTGAGCTAGGTCAACTGAGGCAGACAATGCTTTTAGAAAGGCAGGTCTGGAAGGGAGCCACATTAAATATGGAGAGGCCCAGGTAGGTGTTATTAAAATAAACAGTTTCATAAATGGGAGGGTTTGAGGAGCACGTACAGGAATAGGATAGAATACTCTTTTACTTTGAATATCTATGGTTTTTAAAAATTATAAATCATCTTGGAACTTCTATATTTTTGTAAGCTTACAGAAATGCTGGTGAGATAAGCTGTTAGCAGGATAAGCTGTTAGTAGAATTTATAAAAGTAACAAGGATGATCTAAAACTAAATGAGCCAGTTATTCAGTATCCACATCTACAAAACACTGCAATGTTCCCTCACTGGTAGGAACTGTGTCTTAAATCTTTTTTTTTCTTTTTAAATTCATAAGGACAGGACACATAAGGAATACATTTTAGTAATACTTATTGACATATAAAAATTCATTTGGCAGGATTGCTATTTTTAATAATGGCCTAATCACTCAGATTATTCCTTTTCAATTACTGACTTCTAGATCACAGATGAATAATCGGGTAAGGCTTTTAATCCAGCTATCTGCAGTCCTACAGTTTTATATAAAGTAGTTTGCTACAAAGTAATACTGGCCAACAGAAGTGGTATGCAGCAGATAAACTGGCTATCAAATTTATTTTTTTTTAATTTATAGGATATGCCAATTTCTGTGGTGTAAATACTCCCACCATAAGCTGATTTCAAGCTACTGAGGGCTGGACAACAGGCTTTCAAAATTCCCGAATATTTAACGGCTGGCCTTCCTAAGCCAATACAAGTTGGCTCCAGTACACCACTGCTGTTAAGCCTTCAGTTATACTGGTGTTGAATTTCAGGGCTGGCTGCTGTTCATTAACTCTTAGACTTCTGAAAAATTATTCACTCTCTTGGGCCCTGTGTTTCATCCTCTAAAATCAAGGGTCCTTACAATTCAGATATTCCTTATTGTAACCCTTTCCTTACAGAGTTTTATGGGGGTGGGGGTGGGGTAAGTCAAGCAGTGCATGAGAAAATATTTTGTAAATTCTTAAGTTTGATATAAGTAGGGTCTGGTCTTTACCGCTCTAATTGGAATTCCACCCTGGCTTACATGTACTCATTTTCAAGGCTCAGCCCAGATTCCACCCTCTCTGGGAGGACTTTCCAAACTCTGTCAGGTAGAATTTACCATCTTCTCTTTTGTCCCCTATTGTTTCCTATACAAACTTATATCTTAGCATGATTGGGGCCTTCCTGCATACTGATAGACATGTCATGAGACCATGGTTGTTTCAGCTCTGTGTCTCAGGGTTCATGACACAGTGCCTGGCACATAGGAAGAGCTTAATAACCTTTTATTGACTGAACTAACATGTTATTGTTAGGATACTGGAAAATATGACTTATTTTGAACCAAAGGTGATAGGTAGAGATTTGAATGAGGTGGTCATTTTTTAAGGCCTTGTTATCAGTGGTTCACTGTTAGATTTTGATAGAACTAATGGGCTAAACAAGAACACAGAAGTCTTGCAGAAATTCTTTATTGACACTAGATTGGATTGGATAGCCAGCTCTGGGTAGCACCCACTTTAAAAGCAGAATATCCTTGTGAGAATAAATTGCAACTATGTTCCAAGGGAGCAAATTTGAGGTTCTTTAGGGACTAAAGGAAAAACAGACCATGTTAGTACCTGTCAGGCTATGCAGTTGTTAGGAGATGTGGGAACCCCGAGGATCCTACAAGATAAAGAGGAATAAAAACCGCACCATAGCTCAAAGAATGCATCTGCATTATAACAAGAATAAGTCACAGGACTGCCAATAAGCCCTAGATAGATGCACAATATTTGGAGACCTTTACTCAGTTTGGGGTGACATGGAAGTTGAAGGAAATCCAGAGTAGAGATAGGAAGGCCTGAAAAAGAAGAGTAAAAGTTTGGGGGAAATCTTCCTCCAGCTTGAAAAATGAAAAAGACATAGTATTCATAGATTCTTACCTGGCTTTTACTAACAGTCATTTTTGAAAAGCTGTGGAGGAGGAAAGTTTAATGTAACCCAGCCCACACCCTCAGATTATTATCGTACTTTGAGGATAGGTATTTGTACACCTCTTAATGTAAGAGTAATGTACACTTCTGCATCTTGGCGCCTCCGTCATTTTCCTAAAAGTAGGAAAAGCAACGTGGGGTCTTAGCCACTTACAGGATTTCTCATTTTATTTTTTTCAATACAAATAATGGGCAGATACCTGTCTCTCTTCTTGCCTAGGTAATATTAATCAAATTAAGGCCACTTCTAAATAAGCTCCAAGTGATGCAGAATAGAATTCTACTTTAAAAAAACTATAATGTGGATAATTTCTTATATTTAAAATTTTTGTCTGCTGTTGTAAATGAACACATAATAAGATAATGAAGTATTGGAAAGAATTTGGGCTTTGGAGTTATGCAGATTTGGATTTGTATCCAGACTCTAGCATCCTGTTTGTGTGACCTTGGGCAAGTTATTTAATCTTTCCAGGCCTCAGTTTTACCATCTGTTAAATTAATATCAACAACAGTACTTTTTCCCCAGGATGTGGTGAAAATTAAATGAAATATAGTTTATACAGTATCTGGCACCTATTCTATTAAATAAATGGTATTGTTTCATGATTATTACTTATCATTATGTATTAAGGACCTCACTATAGAGCAGAAACCAGAAAATAAGGTACAGGATGCACAGTGGTTGGTGTGCACTGTGATGAAGGTAAGTCAGGGTGCTGTGGAAACAGAGGCAGGTGAGAAAGATGGTGATGAAGGCCTTTGTGTGTCATGATAAAATGGGCCACCCTTAAAGAGTGTGAGTAAGGGAATGACAAGGTAAGATTCTTTTATTGGCCACTCCAGTAGAAGTGTGGAGAATGGATTGGAGGGTGTTAAGACTGGAAGCAGGAGGATGACTTTGGATGTAACTGGGGTCATCAGGCAGTAGTAGTGTTGCTGGAAAGGGGAGGAGGGTAAAATGTGATACAGCAGAAATAAATCAACAGGCTTTATGGCTGATGTCAATCAATCTGTTTAATAGGTGCTGGTCACCACGCAGGGCTGGAGAACTATCCAGGTGGTAACTAGTATGAGGTACATTTCTGTGACCCTTTTTCCTTTTGTCTGTGTAGAACACCCTCAAGTATGATCTTTGGGGCACAGGGGTTGGGTTGACTAATGCATTTATTTATCCAAGCACTACTTATTGAGGATCTGCCACATGCACACATGGATGATGTAGAAGTGACTGGGATAGATACATTTCTTGAGCTCAGGGCCTCACAGTCCAAGTGGGTCACTAACCAAATAAGGAGACAAATAATTAACTAATGGGTTTATGATCACCATTCTGAATGAAGAATACAAGGTACTATGAGAGGTACTATGAGAGTACTTCACTTATCAGGAGATCAGAGAAAGACTCTCTTGAGAAAGTATAAAAATTAAAGAGATCTGAAGAATATGTAGAAATTAGTAAGGCAAAGAAACAGAAGAAGAAGATTCTAAGCAGAGGAAACAGCATGTGAGATAGCAGAGGAGACTGAGAAAGACAGGCCAGGAAGTTGGAAAAATCTGGAAATTATGGAGTCATGGAAGCCAAGGGATGTGACAGTTTAAAAAAGGAGAGTGGGACCAAGTGTATCAAACATTGCCAAGATGTCAGTTGCGAAGAGGATTTAAAAGTGTCTATTGGATTTAGAGAAATTGAAGTCATTGGCACAGATGGATCCAGGTTTTGTAGGGGCCTGCGCCATATAATTTTAGGGCCTTCTTTAAGATGAAGAATACAAAATTACAAATACAAAAATTATGCGTAAATGTGAATATTTATTTAGACTCGAAAGGCAATCTCCCCAAATACTGGGGTATTAGGAATTTGTGGTCCCTTTGCCTGCTGAAATTTCTTCAGTCAGTTTACCAGAAATGCTTTCTGATTATAACCCAACTTCCCTTCCCCACCTAAAACACTCCATGACTCCCACACTCACAGGTGCTCATGCAAGCCAGGGACCCTGAAGCTCAAGCTTTATGAGCATCAGTCTGCCTCTAATTACTGGAGGCCTGAGAGGGCAGTTTGGTAGGCATGGAGGTGGACGGTCAGGGAAAAGGCTGGGAACTAAATGGGAAGTGAGAAAGGAAGTGGAGAAGGGGAACATAGGCAACACTTTTAAGAGGTTTGGGTCTAAGGAGGGGAAGAGAGAGAGTTTGGTAGCTGAAGTGGGGTTGAGGAAAGGCATTGCAAGGAGACACCTGAGTATGTTTAAATAAGATGGACAGGAAGAACTGGGATTCACAGCACATATGGAGAGAGAAGCTTCTGGTAGGAGGAGTGAGACTTTGTTGGAATAGGAGGGAAAACAGAGAAAGTATGGCCAATGCAAGGAGGCTCTTATATTTGGTGATGAAAAAAAATTAATTCCCATTTATTTTCTTAATGAATTATACAGTGAAGTCATCAGCTGATGTGGGAAAGGGGAAGAGATGTGGGAGAATGGAGACAGTTTTAAATAGTTGCCTTATATTTTGGGAAAGTGAATTTAGTAGAGAAATAGAATGTGATCACTAGGTAATCAGTGGAATGTCACTAGGTAACATTACACATGTGGGAATTGTAGTAATGAATTTAACATAAAACCAGTGAGCCACCCCCCCCCCGCCCCCCGCCACCCAGCCCCACTTTTTTGTGATTTTTCTATAGCAGTGTGCACCTACTCTGGTGTAGACACATTGGATTTATCCAGACTTGGGATTTTTCCAAATAAATAATATGGAAGGAGACAGTGGCCAGAGACTTAGAATATTATGATGAGCCAAGGAATCTAAGCTAGACAAGGAGGGAAATGACCTCAGAAGGCAGCTGATATATTATGAAACATGGTGGGGCCACAGAAATCCAAGAGCTTTTGCCGTGGGAGTGATTGAGTAGGGAACACTGACCATCATGACTTCTTTTCTCTAGCCCACAGGTGGCAAACACAAGTCCCGCGGGCTGAATCCAGCCCTCCACCTTGTTTTCTCTGGCCCGGCACCTTTTTTCTGCCTGGCAGAAGCACCAACCTCTCACTTAACTGTTAAGGAGTAGTTACATTTATACAGTCCTAAAATTACATTCAGCCCTTTGAAGGCAACCAGGCCTCTGGTGAAAATGAGTTTGACACCCCTGCTGTAGCCCCTCAGCATCTAACTGTACTGGCTGTGACAGTCTGATTCTTCTTGATTTACTGATAGCAGATGGAAGTGTTTTAGGAAGCTTCCAATAAACATACAATCAAGAGCCCCGTTTGGAATCCTAAGTTTGTTCAGTCTGTGATCCAAGCATGTCTGGGCTGTATCGTAGGGTAATGAGAGAGTCTAATAAGGGATTTGAGCCTCCTGGGAAAGAACTTTATCCTAATGAAGGAGCAGTTTGATGTACAGTGGGTTGGTCTAATTCAAGCTGATCAGTGATGAAAGGAAGAGGTGCTTTGCATTCAACACAGTCATCATGGCCTAGCTCCAAGAACTTTTTCTTGAGTTGAAGGAGAAGATTCTGCAATCAAGTGTGAGTTGAAATGGAGAGCACTGCTTACTAAAATATCTGGGGCCAGTGAGGACACAAGGCAGTAAAACACTTATGTAATGGAGCACAGCACAGAAGAGAGTTATCTTTCAGAATTACTTATAGTAGCAACACAATCATTATTATTGCAGGAAATCAAATTATTGCATGGGTCAAGAAATGAAGTTCCTGTAATTGCAGGTAGGGTGGAGTCATACAAATATTTTTTTTTGTTATTATGACCCTATTTTTATGCCTTGACTGGGATAGCCTGGCCAAACGCAGCTTACATAGATTCCTGTTATGCATGTTTCTGGGGTTGATGTAACTGATAGCTTGGTAGGTAGAATACCCATTACTGTTAAAGGCTCAGAGATCTCTTAAAGACCCCAGTTCCACATAGCAGATGTTATTCTGTGTTAAGAACCATATATTCAGGGTGTAGCAGAAAACAATGAGAGGAAAACCCAGAAGAGCTTGGTTGGAATTCAGTGTCATTTCTAGGAATGACTCTGTAACTTACAAAAATTATTGTAAGGATTAGGCACTTGATCTAATTTGGTTAATAGTACAGAAAGTTGAATAAATTCATGATTATAAGTAGGCTTTTAAGAGATTTTATTTGTTTTGTTTTAAGTAAGCAAAATTATATGCAAATGCCCACATTTTTATCCAAAGCATCAAGCCAAAAAACATCTCAAAATATCTGTTTGGTCTCTCCCTTCATCTCCATACACTCTTAAACGCACAGGACGCCAGAGCAGCAAGGGTTCTTAAGTGATCTAGTCAAACTCCTCTTATTTTGCATGTGATAAAACTGAGGCCCAGCAAGGAGAAACGAGTTGACTTATTATTATCAAATCTAGAACTCAAGTCTTCTTACTCCTTGTTTGGATGTCACTCTTAGACTTCTCAAGGGAGATCCCTGTGTCTCTTCTGGGAGACTGCTGGAGGCACAGATTCCCTGCATAAGCAAATGTGCAACAGCTCACACTGTCCGAGAATCCTTCATTGGCCTCATTGGGCTCTGAAAGAGACAGGAGCCCACCCTTTCCTTTCCACATGGGATTGGAACTGAACTGACCGAGTTTGCCTCGAATTTCTGTGGAGGTCTGGGCTGAAACCTGGCCCCTCACCTGTAGCTGGGCTGTTGCTGCAAGCATCTTCTGTCGAGTTTGCAGGACTGTGGATGAGGACATGGAGATAGGTACGCTTTGCCTTAACCACCTTATATCTTCCCACATACAAGACAGCTGCAAAAGAAGTCACACGGTCATATCATTATCCAAGCCAGTACATGATTTAGGTTGTGGCATCAAAGCACAGCAGGGAGAAGGAAACCTGACCCTTGATGTTTGTTCTCTAGTCCATTTTCAGATACACGCGAAACAACTTTTTGATCTCTGTCCAGTTGGAAAAAGATCTGAATGTTAATGAAACAGTCTGATCCACATTTTAGTCTTTGCCAAATGATCCCATAACTCAGAATAGTGGAGACGCAATCTGACAGGATGCAAGCTTCTTTGCTTTGAAAATGTAGTGTAGACAGTCTTTTGGCATTTTGTGTGACATAGGGCATATCAGAACTGAAAGAGACCTTTGAGATAATTTACTCCCACCCCAATACTTTGATCACTGGAGACCCCTCAACTAAGGTTTCAGAGATTTATGTGCAGTAACATTGGTGCAAAGTGGAAGAAAATAAAACCAGAACTTGGTATACCTTTGTGAACCACAGAAAATCTTGTGTGATGGAACTGGCGTGAGAGTCATCTATTTCAACGATCGGTATTTGATCTTCATTGGTGACTAACATATTGTCTTTGTAATAAAATATAACAGCTATGTAGAGTCCCCTAAAAAGAAAAAGCAAATAAAAATTGTCCTCCACCGTCTTCCTCTACCAAACCAGAATCATGGAAAAATATTTTTGGACATGAAATAGATAATTTAAAATATATGTGTGAGGGTATTCTTGCTAAGTATCACAAGTTCACTGACTAGAACTCAGAGAAAGTACTATGTGGTCCAAATTCTCAAGAGAAAAGTGAACTTTACATTCTTTTTGAAAATGTGATATATGTTTATTTATTTAAAAATCAAAATATAGTTAACATGCAATATTATGAGTTTCAGGTGTATATATTACACTTGATATATACTTGCATACAATTGTTATTCAACATTTATATAACCTGTGAAGTGATCACCATGATAAAAAAGAAATCTTGCCATTTTCAACAACATGGATGGACCTAGAGGGTGTTATGTTAAGTGAAATAAATTAGGCAGAGAAGGACAAATACCGAATGATTTCACCTATATGTGGAATCCAATAAGAAAAACAAACAAACAAAAAAATCAGCAACAGACTCATAGAAACAGAGATCAAATTGATGTTGCTAGAGGGGCTGGAGAGTGGAGGGTGGGTGACAAAGTGAAGGGAAAGAAAGAGTACAAAATTCATGTTCATTTAATAACAAAAAGAAATTCTACCAAGTTTCCCCTCACAACCAAAAAGTAGCTGATTCCTGAGAAGCTAAGACTTCCTGGGAACACTCTCAGACCCACCGTTTCAAGGTCTTCACAAACTTGTTTGAGGAGTGAAATAGGTGTTTCAGGCTCCTTGAGACTGACTGCTTGCGGCCCGTGGTTTGTAATTTTGAACTTTCTGGAACACAGAAAGAATACAGTGTAAATTCCATTGGCAAAAAGCACTCTCACCTTCCTGCCTGCTACTTCCCTGTCCCCTCAGTGTCACTGTCCTCAGTTTCTTACAGAGATTCAGCTCATTCATTCCTATAAGAAACTTTTGTATCTTGAGATGCCAGCAGTTAACTCAATAAAGAGGTCCTCAAAAATGTTGGCAGTGAGTAACATAACTGTAGAGGAAACCACTTAGGTGTTTTGTTTATCCTTTCTATATCAGTGGTTTATTATACAGTGGGATATTCCATTACATTTTTACTATAAAATTAATAGAGGTACATTACAGAAAATCTGGAGAATAGAAAAAAATGAACAAAATCCTACCCATATCATCCCACCACTGTACTACAACCACTGCAGGCATTCTGGGAAAGTTTTTTCCAGTGTATGTGTTGTCTCACAAAAACAGTTGTAGGCATAGGCATGGTTACTATCCTTATTATTCAGGGGGAAAAATAGAGACAGGAATGTTAAGTGGACCATCCAAGATAAAAAAAAGTCAGTACCTAGAAAAACGGAGACATTCATTCACTGAATAAGTATTTATTGGGCTACTACTATGTGCAAGGTTTTGTGGCTATAGTGGTGAGCAAATTATCCTTTGCATGTGTTCAGTTCTACTATTCACAACCCGGAGCTTTCCCTGATAAAAGTAGTAGACTTCCTGTAACAGTCTTTGTAAACAGTACTCTGCGGAGCTGAAAGAGATGATTACTGATTCCAGTTCTGAGGTTGTTGAGTCTCATGACAGATTTGACATTGGAGATGACAACATGGTCCATATTGGTGCTATTAGGCATGGAATCCTGAGCAATGGCCCATGGCTAAGGCCCAGTGTGGTTCTGCCTGTGATCCTATAGGAGCAGTTGAGAATGAGCTGACACAAGTAGTCATACCAACTTCAGACTTGTGCTGACAGTTATTCCTGGCAGACAAAGCAAAAGCCTCTTTTTTCTGACTTGAACATGAATTTGGCTGGTCATATCCTGCTTGAAAATGATGCTGCTTGGACTTATGGCTAAAGGCAGCATACTGAACATATTTATTACATACCACTCTCTCTGAAAACCTCACTAAAAGCAGAGCAAAAAGATTTAAAAAACCTATAAAGACAAAGACATAAATCTGTAAAGACAAAGAGATGGGACAGGAGACAAAAGCAAGTGAATTTTGGTAGCTGGAAAGCAGATGGACAGATGGATTTGGCAGACTTGAGGAAGCTGAGAAGTAACCTGACTCACCCTATGGGCACCATATACTGCTGGAAGAGGGGAATGAATGTGCAGCCGAAGTTAGGGGGTTATGTTTATGTCTGTTTAAGAAGGAATTAGACTTCTAGATATCTGTTGCTACCTTGCATATGTGGACAAATACCCCTCCCCCACTCTAGAAGAAAGCTAGAGGCATATTCTGTTCTCTGAAAAGAATCAAAAGAGGTCTTTAGAGTGAGAGACACAGGGTACAGTAAAAAGTTGGGGTGGGGGGGGAGGTATTATATACTCAAAACAGGTGGATTAAATGAAAGTTTCCCTACAGAATATTTCCCCACTGGGCTCTGGGGACACTGGAACTCAAACTTACGTCCTCTAGGCAGGACACTGGAAGAAACTCTTTTGGAGCCTCTGACTGGCCTAAGAGAAGGCACCTAAAGATCCTGACAGTGGCTTCATTGCTGTACTAAACACAAGGCCATGCCAGATCTCCTTACAGCGAAGCCTATGAAGAGCCCTCTCCATGGGCTCAGAGCTTCCCAGTAACTATTGCACTCCCTTCTCTTAACTCTGAGCAACTGTCGAAGGATCATCAGGTAGTTGCAAAACAGCACGTAACAAGAAAGACAGAGGTCAAAAACAGAGAAACAAAAGAGCAATTTAGCTGAGAGATCATGCTGGAGAAAGAAAATATAATAGCCTGAGAGATAAGAAAAGATACAACATCATTGTAAAAATGATAGGAATTGGTAAGAAAAACTTAGAGGAAATGTGTTCAGAGAATAAAACAGAATTAGAAGTTAAAATATGTTATCAAAGTCTGAAAGACACAATAGAAATCCCAGGAAATAAAGTTGGGGAAGTCTCCAAGAAAGCACAGCAAAAGCACATGGGGATGGAAAGCAGGAGGTTGGGTGGGGGAGGGAATAAAACAGCTAGTCTGTGAGGTTCAACATCTGAATAAGAGTTTTTCAGGAGAGAATGGAGAAAAAGGAGGGAAAGAAATAATTAAAGAAATGATTTAAGAAAATACCTCATAATTGGAAGTGCCTTCCATATCGAAAGGGCTTGCCAAAGGTATAGCACAACAGACCACAATAGAGCCGCCAAAGGCACATAACAGTGAAATTTTAGGAAACTGAGGTTAAAAAGAAAATTTAAACCTTTGAGGGTAGAAAGTAATAGGTTTTATATAAAATTTCTGGAATCAGACTTCCCAGTACTGAAAGCTAAAAGACAATGAAGCAACGTTGCCTTTGAAGTCTGAAAGAAAATTATTTCAATGGATAGTTCAATACTTACCCAAACCCTTAAATAAATGTTAAGTGGAATAAAGTTTTAGACATTCAGTGTATTCCAAAGTTAGCTCCCAGGTATCATATTAGGAAGCTACTGGAGGAAAGGTTGCACCAAATGAGTGACTAACCCAAGAAAAAGGAAGGCGTGATAAAAAAGAAGAAATCTAATATTGGAGAGTGGCAAGAAGAGTCCTCAATGTGGTGGTGAAAGGAGATCTTAGGGAGACAGCTGTGCACCAGACACAGGCAACCAGGAGCCAGTCTAGAGCGGAGGTCGGAGGACTCCAGGAGCGGGTTCTTAAAGAAGATGCAGTTGAAACAATTCTAATGTCATCTGATTGTGTTGAGAGAAAATTGGTACAGCTGGAGAATAGCTTGCATATTCATTAGTTATAACCGCATAGAAAAATAAGAAAACAATAAAAGGTGATTATTCACTATAGGGAAGACAAAAAGTTGTCCAGGAAAGAAAAAAAATCGACTTTTCATGATCATTATAATGAAAGCAACAAATAATTGATTTTGCTAAAATTATAACTGTACTAGGAGGATAAGGGAATAGGAATTATATGTACATATAAGAGGGTAGGGGGGTAAAAAAGGGAGAAATCATCATCTTCCTTAGTGAGATAATGCCTATGATTGAAAAACATCCAGAATTTGCAATAAAAACGTTATATAGAGATATAGAGAAAATATCAAAAGAATTGAGCCTTTGGGGAATAGAAAATAGAGCATGGGAGAAATTACTTTTTTAAAATAACAAAGCTTGGCCTGGCTGGTGTAGCTCAGTGGATTGAATGTGGGTCTGTGAGCCAAAGGGTCACCGGTTGGATTCCCGGTCTAGCACACATGCCTGGGTTGTGGGCCAGGTCCCCAGTAGGGAGTGTGTGAGAGGCAACCACACATGATGTTTCTCTCCCTCTCTTTCTCCTTCCCTTCCCCTCTCTCTAAAAATAAATAAAATTTTAAGAAAGAAAAAACGCAGATTCTAAATGGTAAGCTGCGGATGAGCCAATTTAAAAAAAATAAGGCTTTTTTAAGTGCTTTACTTACTTTAAGCCATTTAACCCTTAAACAGTGGCTGACAGGTACATTTTATAAATAAGCGAAGTGAGGGATAGAGAGGACAGAAGGCTTGCTTAAGGTCACACAGCTAGTAAATATCCAGCCTGGATTTGAACTCAGGTAGTCTAGCTTCAGAATAATCACATATAATGTAAGTAAAAATGAAGATTGAACTAAACAAATTGGACATAAAAAAAAGAGAAAAATGAGAAATGCTACTACCAGTTGGGAATGGGGTCCATGCATATGTTAAATATTCCGGGTGTCCTTTGTTTTGGGTACATGGTAGAATTGTACTTCTTATAGCCTTTGTGGTTGGATGGGGCCATGTGACCATTTTTGGCAATGACTTTTGAGTGTAAGTAGTACACATAAAGTCTTCCCCATATATTAGCCCTGGAAGAGTTTCTTTTCCCTTTCCTGTGGACACTGGCAGATGTTTCTAGAAAGAGGATGATGGCAGCACAGAGGGCAGCTCTCAGCTGAGCAATGGTAGACATACAGCATGTATGAGAAATACATATTTTGGGGGTCATTTCATTATTGCAGCATGATATAGCCCATTTTGACTGATAAAAGACCTAAACTCACATTTCTGTTAAGGACTGTGGCTTCTGTTCTGTCTGTGCTTGGTTATGGGCTCTCGATCATTTATTAGTTTTCTGGACTCTAAATACAGTAGGTCTTTAGCTTTTAAGTGCTTGGAGCAGGGGAGTTTATTTTATTCATACTGGTATGTCTAACTCCTGACACATAGTAGACAGGTTTTAATGAATGTTTGCCAGTTGAAAAATTGGATGATAATTTAAATTCACTCCTGTAGGGTACTGCTGTGGTGAACACAATTAGTTTCTTTGTGGTTCATTTTGTATGTCAGGGCATAAACCCTACGGATAAAAAAGACTGCTCAACGTCTCTATTGATTTTCCATCCCAGCACTGAGCATGCAGATTAGCTGTGGCTAGTTCTTTAGCCAAAATACAGAAATTAATGTGGTTTTGGTACCTCTCATGTAGGGGTTGATAGGAAAAGGGATGTTATATTACTACTTCTGCCTTTGGAATGTGCTGTGTATTTATTGAGTACTCCAGCCTCATTATAATGGAGTCAGTGATTACACTTTGATTCTAGGACATGTCAGTAAAGTGCCAATGCCAGAGAACACCTCTTTACCTGGAAGAATATGAAAGAAAATCAAATTAGAGTTTGCAAAGTGCTTATACTGTGCCAATTGGGCTTAATCCATTATCTAATTTAATTCTCATAATGAACCCTGATAGATATTATTATGTTGTTGTTTTTTTTTCTGATAGGGATGCTATGGCTCAGAGAGGGTAAAGACTTTTCTCCAGGACACACAGCTAGTAAGTGGTAGAACTGGGATTTAAAATAATTATTTTTATAATTATAAAATTTGTAAAGGTTTATTCCTTCAATAAACCACATAGTATCTCAATGTAATTGAGTATTTTAAATAACAGTTGTCTAGTATTCGGTGTGCAATACCTAATTATCCTTTATTTATCATTTGAGAAGTAGAGAGATTTTGTTAAATTATTTTAGAGTTATTTGTTTTTTGGTGTGAGTTCACTTCTTTTATCCTGGCATATTATTGGTCAGCATCTCCCAGAGTTTGTGCCTTGGAACACTAATTGTCTGAAAAAAGGATTTACAATGGCCAAATAAGTTTGGAAACTGCTTGTTTAACCAAATTCAAAATGTCTCTTTATTAAAATCTTCAGTACTTTAATGTCTATTTTATATTTCCAAAGGAGGAATGTATAATGCAACATTTTCTAAACTTACTTGAGCAGAGACCTTTTTCAACTGTGTATCCTATAGGACCACTGTTCTTTGGAACACACTTTGTACACTGTTTAACTGTCCAGAGCATATGTCTTTTTTAAAAAAGATTTTATTTATTTCTAGAGAGAGGAGAAGGGAGGGAGAAAGAGAGGGAGAGAAATACCAATGTGTGGTTGCCTCTCATGTGTCCCCAACTGGCAAACTGGCCTGCAACCCAAGCATGTGCCGTGACTGGGAATCAAACTGGTGACCCTTTGGTTTGCAGGCCGGCACTCAATCCACTGAGCCATACTGGCCAGGCCAGAGCATATTTCAATATAAAAAATAGTCCTCCTTTTTGAGAAGTGCTGCCTTATGTCTTAATCAATCTTTCCTGATAGTGTGTGTATATTTACATAGAAGCATGCATAGATAAAAGTTGATGGAAACCATAGAAATAATTGTGCTGTGTAGACAGTCATCTCTTGATCATTAGATAGTAATTTAATAGCAACAGGAAGGGCATTTAAGTCCTTAGATAATATAAAAACTATTCCCTTACTCTTGAGTAGTTTTAGCTTTCCCCCTCTGATAAAGACCAAATAAAATGTGGGTTTTGAATCTCAAAGAAATGATCTGTCCAATTGCTTTATTACTCTTGCCTGCCATACAGGAACCAATGGGCAGGGGGATGATGAAGAGGAAGGACAGGAGAAAGCCAGTGAAGTAAGAAATCTATGCTTGAAACTAGGATGCTAGCTGAGTTTTGAGTATATGTTAAAATTATCATATTTAGTATTAGCAAAAAGTTGTTTCCAATTGCTATATAACTATGACAATAAAGTCCTTTGAAAATTTTGACTATAGCTAGAAATGAAGACATACTGTTCTTCTAAAGAATGCCTGGTCTGGTTCATGGACCCTGGGCAACTGGGAGTGGAGTGCACCATGTGTAGTGTGGAATGTTGAAGGCCCTGGTCTGGGCAAGGTTTTCCTAGAGATCTGGGAAAGAAATCCCCCTTGGGTTTCCTTCTCAAGCTTCTTCCATGCATATTTACCTCTCCTAATGAACCATTCGTTAGAAGAATATTTTTTTTTGCAAACACTTGTCCTCATTTCTAGCTATAGCCAACATTTCTGGAGGGCTTTGTTGTCATAGTTTTATAATAATCAGGAACAACTTTTTGCTAATGCTGAGTATGATAGATAGATTTACACCAAGTCAAAACACAGCTAGCATCTCTTTAAGTTTCAACCATAGATTTCTTAACCTCACTGGTCCAGCAGTGCCCTGTATCTAGAGAGTGCAGTGTGGTTGGCAATCTGATGGGTGAAGGAGCATGGAAAATGAAAACTTTATGGAGGCTTTAATTCTCCAAATAAAACTAAGTGCCTGTTCCACGAATCATTACACAGATCAGAAACCTGACCTGTCCCATTCGAACAGCCCAAGTAGAAGAAGAGAAGCTTTCAAAAGCTCAGATTTTCTGGGTGTAGTTGGCTAGGCCTGTAGAAAGTATGCACCACTTTCTCTTAAGCAGTAATACAGGGGGAGATTAAAATTCAGGGTGAGATTAAAGCCCAGGGCCTAGTCCTGATGTAAGGATGGGAGATAAAAATGAGTTATGGCAAGAGGACTGGACTTGGAGACAGAAAACCTAGGTTGGTATCTTGATTCTGTCTCTTCCTAGCATTGCCACCTTGGTCAAGCCACTCAGCCTCAATGATAACTGCCAAAATGAGGGTGGAGAGAGGTATTGGATGTGAAATTGCATGTAAACTTTATCGTAAGTACACACAAAGGTTTACTATTATTGTCACTGTTGTAAATGGTTGAGCTTCCCCAGGGATCCCCACAAAATTTTCCTCGGAGGTAAAACATTTTAGGGTGAATATCCCAAAGACCCAGCACATTGAGGAGTTTTGTGAAGGGACGGTTCAAGGGGAAAGGGACTAATAGCAGCTGCTGTTTCTTGTGTGCTTCTATTCAAACTGTTCCTGTATAGAGAGAGCGAGAAAGAAAGGGAGAAAGGAGAGAAAGTCTCTTCTGAAGGGTTAAAGCAAGATAGTGCTGTAAAGTGATTCCAGATGTACAAATATTAATATCTCTCTCTGCCTGATGAATGAGAAGGTATGACCCAGTTAGGAAACTGCTAAAATTACCGGCGCCACCGAGACCTCAGTCGATGGCCCAGTGCAGATTTTTATCCTTACCCCGGCAACTATAGTGCTGATGAAGGGCTCGGACCTGCTGCAGCAGACCTTCCAAAACTTCACTCTGTCCCTTGTGTCTGGGCTCTCTGTCGTCATAGTCTTTCCAGTCTATTGAACAAAAGAAACAAACAGAGTGAAATTTTAAAGCAGGGGAGGCCTCTCCCCTGCCCTGCCTCAGGAGCCGAGTTTTGCCCTTACTACCCACAGACTCTGTGGATAAGCACCCAGCTCTCTCCCAGCTAGCAAGCAGTGCCAAGGGTTTGGAAGCTGCCATTGTTCAGGGCCCTGTGCAAAACAGTAATTGTGGTTGGTTTCTTGTCTTGGGCAGTTTTAGGGCAAGAGAAAATGGTAGTGGAAAGCCAAAAGAAAATGGGGAATTTGGGAGTCCAACTTCCCCTCCCCCAGCTCCTTATTCTCCTTGTCAGCACCCAGTGTCCTAATCAGTCCCCTGCCACCTCTCCACTCAGCACCCCAAGTCTCAGCTGGATTTCCACAGTAGGAAAGAAAGGGGTGGGAATGTGCAGACTAGATGAAATCCACAGTCCCAATGCTTTTATTGTAGGTTTCACACTTTTGGCCAAATTGACATTTCTTTCCAAGGAAAGAGCCCATGTCAGATGCCAAGAAATGGAAATCTACATTCTGCTCTAATGAATGTCTGCTTGGTTAGCTGGCACGGCAGCTCCTGCACACGCTCCGAGCCACCAACCACCCTGTCTGCTCAGTCTCTAAATATACAGTATTAGCTTACATGGCAAATTTAAATTGCAATACCCACTGAGATTTTTCTCCCCTTCTATTTTCATTCCACTTGGCAATAATGATATCAAGAGTAATAACCCGTATGGGACTAATGTCAAGACTGTAATTGTGCTGTCTCCAACTTTGGATTTTTTTTTTTAGCAGGTCAGTCAGTCATTTCAGAGTCCATCCTTTCTTTCTTCTATTTTATTCCTCCCAGTTTTACATTCTGAACCTTTCAAAAGCAACAACTGAAGGCACTTCTTGGTTAAAATGCCTTTTCTAAAAATGCTAGACATTTTTTTCCCTACAAAAGTCCATTTGTTCATGAGTGTATCAGAGGCTTAATTCTAGTTGAATGATTTTCAAATTCCTGCCTCCCAGATTTATTTTAAAATAATGGAATCTTCCTTATTTAGATGGCATGACAGTTAAAGTTAGGCAAAAGTCGCCTACACTGGTCCATCCAAGGGCAAGGGGTACAACACAGTTAGAAAGAACACACCCAGGTCCTGGAGACAGATAAACTTGGGTGTGAATTCTCGCTTTTCCCATTCCTAACTTAGTGACTATAAGTAAGGCAAGTTACATGGCAGGGTCTCTACCCTGTAATATGAGAAAGGAGCATAGTGTCTACCTTGCAGTATTTTTGTGAGGATTAAATGAGAGGACTACTAGGTATCCAACACAGTGTTACATGGAAGGCATTGTGTAAGTAATAACTTAAAAAGACGGGTGTTCATTGGTGGGAAGTTAACTGCCTGAGTAGCGAGTATGGAAACATCATTTCTTGTCCTGTCAGTGATTCCCTATGAAGAAGGAGGCCTCAGAGATTTTCTTATCCTTCCTCCTTCACTCCCTCCCCATGCACCCTTCTTCATTTTACCTCTCAGAAGACAGACCCTGAGATATCTATTCCTGTTCTATATTGCTCAGCTTGTTAGTGGCATAGCCAGGACTCTCACATAGTATTATGATCTTCCATATCGTGCTCGTTTCCTTATACCGCGGATGTGTTTGTTTTTTCTTTTGGGAAGGAGGGTCAGAGCTTAGTTGGCGTCTGTGTGGTGTGGGTTAGTTGTGGTCAACTCTGGAGACAGGGAATTGGCATAAGTGCCTTCTGTAGACTCTGTTTTTTGTGGGCAGAAATGGTGACTTAATTTCTCTTTGCCTCAGTTTTGTTCACTGTAAAGTGAGTTTTTGAATCTCTTTTTAGGTTATCTGAGGTTCCAAAGAAATAATGTAAGTAAAGCACCATTCTGGGTACCTGGGAGACACTCTCTATGTTGGTGCAACATTGTGACTAGCAGTATGATGGTGTTCAGGGAGGGTGGACTAGGAAAGGGCTTCTATTGGGAAATTCAGAAATGTTAAAGGAAATGAACTCCTAGTGGCCCTTGGACCATCTGTAGTGTTGCTGCTGTCTGGGCACAGTGAGCATGAACATTGTTCTCATGGATTCCCAAAGGCCCTAGTTGGATAAATATATCTGAGGTGCTCATGGTAAGATGAGCAACATTGTTTGCTTGAGTAAGATTCCTGGGTGGTTGAATTACTACCTGGCCCTGAACATGCTAATACAGTCTAATGAGTGTTAATACCACCATTGGTGCAAGGGAGGATGAAGTGGACCTGGCCCTTTCAGCTGAGTACTATTACATCAGAGGCGAGCTCAAGCTGATGACTTTATGATACATTAGAAAATTGCTAATGCTAAATTGCAGCCTGAGTGAATGCTGGACACGATGCCAAGGTTTTTGGAAAGAATGAGTTTTTCTCATAGATGTTTGGAAGGTTCTGACGACTACATAAAATAGGAGACTTTAGGGATGAGGGAGAAAATTGAAAATATATTAAGAAATCAGGAACCTGACAGGAATAAACTTAGTGTGGTAGGAAAAGAGCAGACTGTGCCACGTAACACAGTCCACTGTTCTGGTAATGAGACACTTTGATTGCAACACAATGCAGAGCTTACATTCACTGGCGATATCAGGGCTTTCCTGATCGCAACTCAGACAAGCCTGTCTGGGTCCTTTTCTCTTATTATGTACCATACCATATAACATAAGTCTATAAAAACACATTAAAGCCTTTTGTAAAAATGTAAAAGAAAGTTTTATAGCTTACTGGAACATATTACCCAATTTCCAATTACTCTGTCATGTTAGAATACATTGTCTTCAAGTAAATATTTGAATACTGATATATGTTACATCACAATGTCATACTCTGTTTATAAATAGAACCAGAGTGTTTTTATATTGTTCTTTCCAAGTGATACGGCATGTCTGCAGCAACTGTAACAACATGTTTGCATTTCAGTTCTTTGCCAGATACCCCTACTAATCCATTGTGCTGTTATAGAAAGCGTCATTTTGCTATGTTAATTTTCAACTAATAAGTGACTCTTCCCAGTCTTATACAACGATTCTTGTCATTTTGGAGAGAGCTCTTCAAATGGGCTGTGAGGGAGACTGTCTGAATAGAATTTGTTTATTGAACCAGAACATCTGATGTTACAAGTAAATGCATCCATATGCAGATCAGAATTTTCATGGGTGTGCATTTGGAGTGGATTTCCTACTGCCCTACCTTCGGGTGAGCTGAGGTTAGCTTTTTTTTTTTTTCTTTTCTGTCTCTTCTATCCCTCTATCTCCAGTAATACATACCTTTTTTTCTTTTCTTCCTGGAAAGAGATTTGTTCCCTTAGTATCTTTATCTTGTAATATTCCCAGTGTGTTTTTCTGACACGTCTTCAATAAGAAAGATGTCCAAATAAGACTGGAATGATTAAATCACTAAATGCTAGGGTACTCAGGGGCCATAGAGATCTCTGGTATCAGTGGTCTAAGGCTCTAAATGACCTGGTTTAGCTCTCTGAATCTGCCACAGGTGGGGGTCAGGTATGGTTAGCTGGCTGTCTGCTTGTCTGCTTGATAGTGGGGCACTGGTTACCCCAGGTCTAAATAGCAGGTCTTGAGCAGTTTGGCCTTGAATCCTGGCTTAGCCACATACCAGAATTATAACCTTGGGCAAGGCAACATCCTCTCTGAATCCCAATTTCCTTATTATTAGAGGAGGAGGAGGGTTTAGACCTTACTTCAGTGCTGACTAGTTTGGTGATGTTGGCCTCTGTGTATGTATGTGCCTCCATGTTAATAGTTCTCTCATCAGTAAAATGGGTCTAAGAATAAAATTCACCTCAGTAGCTTTGTTACGAAGATTAAATGAGTCAATCCATGAAAAGTTCTTAGATTGACATGCAGCATTTAATGAGCCTTATAAATGTCAGCTCTGATGTTGAAAGTGATGGTGATGGTGCTGCTGCTGCTGCTGCTTATCCATAAGGTGGGAACAGTGGTGGCTGACTGTTGTGCGGGTTCAGTGAGACACTGACCATGAAAGCCCGCAGTACACCACTGATTTGTGATTGGTCCTGGGTAAAGGGTTGTTACAACGCTTGAAAAATACATAAATATAAAAAAGGAGACTCAGAACCCAATATCTACTATTAAATTTGGATAGTTATGTGCAGATATGTCTATCTAATTATAGTCAAACTCACAGTTTAAATGTTATATAAACAGTTTGTGTTTTTTACATAAAGCTTATACTGTATGAATTTCTTCTACACAATAAATTTTTTTAACATCATTTTTAGTGGTTACATTTTCTGTAGAATAGATACTATATCAACCTTATTTAACTGTTAAGTTAATATTGAATATTTGTTCTCTTTACCACACATGATATTTCACTGTATTGCTGCACTGCATTTCTTTGTCCATAATTGTTTGTCTGCATCTGTTTTCTTAGGTTAGATTCCTAGATGTGTAGTTATGGGATAGAAAGAAATGAATGTTCTTATGGTAGTTGACATAGATGGCAAGTTGTGTTCCAAAAAGGATGTAGCAGTTTGCATTCACAAGAAGCATATTATGCCATTTTTAACCATCGCATTAGTGAAGATCTAAAAATAACTACAATACAACTTACAGCAATAGGCTCATTATGCAGGAAAAAAAGCCTATCATGGTGTGTTTAGAAATTTTTTTTTCTGGTCAATTAAATTTTTCTGGTTAATAGAGAGTTGCCAAATATACCAGGGAATAAATTATTAATCTTCAAATAATTAGAAGAGGCTTTTGTTGGATTTTTCAGCCACCACTGCAGATATTATAGGCTGTATTTGTGGCAGAATGCCTGTTAGTAAGAGAGCTTTTCTTCTGACAGAATGGAAGATTTGCTAGGTTCCCATTGAGGAATGGGTGATAAGAGCTAAGTGGACTAGATGTGCTCTGGGCTAGCCAGTCCCACTGTGTCATGTGACTACATCCCCACGAAAGCCCTGTGGAAGGGTAAGATCAGACCCATTCTACAGATGTTGAATTGAGACTCAGAGAGTTTAAGTAACTTTTGAAAGCCAAACAGCTAATAAAAGGTATAGTGGGTATCAAATTGGATCTTGCTGGCTACAAATTCTCTCTTCTTTCATTCCACTGAGTTGCCTCCCAGGGGAACATTTCTGTAGAGAAATCATTCATTCTGTGGCCCAGATGCTACCCTGAGTTAGTCCCGAGCAGTAGGGAGAGGAAAGGAATGGCAATGGCTTCCCAAGGATGGAGTTGGAGCTGGACCCTGTTGCCAGGCTTGAGGAAGTTCATAGCCACCACCTACTAGAAGGAGAGGCACATGCTGGTGTCGTGGTCTGAGCAGGTCCCCATCCTTTCATGTTATAAGCCGAGACTTGCACAAAATACTGTTGACCCTGCATAGAGAGAAGAATGCATTGGGAATTTTATTTAGTCAGTTTTACTCTTGAAGTAGGTTCCTGTGTCTGATGAACTCATTTATCCCTTGGGAACGAACTACCCCACCACCCATATTTTAGCTTTCTAGCTTTTCTTGACTATTATGCTTATCTATGGTAATACAGTTTTGGGATGCCCATTTTGGTTTCCTTGTGCTTTCTTTTTTTTCCAAAAAATATAATATTATAATTTCTTTTTCTGGCCCCTCCCAAACACATATACACCAATTTTTTACAGTCATAGTTCTATAAGGTTTGCCAAGAAGAGCAGTTTTTCACCCTCACCTCTTTTTTCTTGTCTGTCCCTCTTCAGAGACAACCACCATCACCGTTTTAGCTGATCAACTTACTTTATAAAATTAACAAGTTATAATGAACATCTTCTCAGATTAGTGATTAAAGGCCTGCTTCATTCTTTTAGCGGCTGCATAGTACTTACTGTGGGGCAAGTACAGTCATTTATCTAACCAGCCCCTCACCAGTGCACGTTGACGTGGTCTCCACCCTGCAGGCAGCAGTACAGAATGCTGCTGTAGGCATTCTTTACTCAGCTGTCAGACCTTATAAAAGTTAATTCTTTGATGGTACTTTCGTTTTAAAACTGTTATTAAAACAATGGCTTATAGTCTGTACTGTCTTATGGCACAATGAATCAAGGAGTTATTTTTGTTTGCTTATAATCTTTTAAAGTGTTTTGTATATTTTTCCTCCTGGTGAACCTAAAGGGGTATTTTAGAAGCCAACATTTGATAAAACATTGCTTGTAAGAAGTGTAAAATGGTGTTTCAAGTTAAAAAAATAGCAATCTTTGTGGAGCTTCTCTTAGAGGTTTAATAATATTGGCCTTACCATATTACAAAGTTAAGATTTTTTTAACATTAAAAATGGGTTTCTATAAAAAATGGGTTTCTCTGTACCTCGAGGTTATGGAGATTCTATAGAAGTGTAAATCTACTTCTAGGCTTTTCTGTGATTAAGATACTGTCTGCGTTGTTCTCATTCGACGACCAAGTGGAAAAACTTAATTCCTATAAAAATTAGTTCAAATATTAGAGAAACTCTCTGCGGAGAGTTTTCCATTTTTATCACCATATCACTTTTCAAACACTGGAACCTCCCTGGGGCTCTCTTATGGCCTTCTTCCATCATGTGAGCTACAGGGTCGGGGATCAGTCTTCTGCCGATAGCATCTCTGGGGGCCACCCACTCAGGGGTTTGTTTGTTCTGGTAATCCACAGCTTTGGCCTCTGGTGTAGACGTGTGATTAGAACTAAAAGTCAAGATTCTGTGGTGGTGACCCAACCACCAAGAATTCTATTAGAATTAAGCTGGTTCAAACTTGAAGAGATGCAGCCTAGTGTGGCTTCTTAATGTTGGGTTTCAGGGTAATACTTTACATATAACTGTTTTAATTGACTAACCTTTTAGAAAAACAATAATGACAACAAAATTCTTCTTCTACTTCTCACATGTGAAAGCCCTAAGATATTATTTGAATTGGGCTCCAAAATATACAGGTTGATTTATGTTTACTTGAAATATTTTTTTCATAAAAAAAGATTTTGATGATCCAGTTTTGTTGTATATTAATTGTTTGAGGAAATATATATAGGGTTTGTTTCAGTCTGAACTGATTTGCTGGGTGTTTTATATTTTGCATGTTGTATGCTTATATGGTTTATAGTTCTAGAAATAATTAACATTTAAGTTTAGATTGGTTAGACAAATAAGCACAGTTTGTTCCAGTTTTTCATTCACAGTTTAAGTTGGTTCAGGTTACTGAGAAATGTAGCGCCACCATATATAGTTTCTTTTTGTGAAAGCAGATTTAGACAGATTTTTTTTTTAATCAAGGGAAAAGGATTTCTCTCAGGAAATTGTGTGACTCCAATTGATGACTGATCTCAACCAGGCTGTGGGGGTGAGGGTTAGATGAGGCTGTTATTTTTACCATCAGACAGGGAGTCAAAATTGGATCTCTCAGAGCCTTTGATCCCCCCGAAGATTAGACTGTGATCCAGAAAGCAGCAGCTTTCAAGGCTTGCATGAGGCCAGTCTTTTTCTGATCTCCATAGAACATGGCAGCTTACAAAGTGCTTCATGCTGTCTGCTCACTCCTTTGTGGGGTTCAGATTATGGATACCAGACATATCACGCTTAACGAGTGGCAGTTGTTGCCAGAGGACTGGGTGTTGGCTGTTGCTTCCAGAGTAGGCATTTGCTACCAAAATCCCAGCACAAACATCAGGGGCAGGGGAATGGGAAGTCTAAGGGCATTTACCGTTGTAAGCCCTGTAATTGTACATCTCAGGGTCTGCAGGTTTTCCATGATGATTTCTCCAGCCAAAGGACAAAAGTCTTTAGATATGCTCCACTCCACTAGGAGGGGGAAGGGGAGGGAGAGGGAGAGAATGAATGAAATTGTCATCAAGAAGCATCATAAACACTCTAGCAAATGATCTCTCTCAAAAATAGTAAGTTTACCCTCTTTTTCCTATATTGACACATGTAACATTCTTCTCAACATGTCACTTTCAAGTTCACTATTATTTTTTAAAACAAGAGCAAAAAAGTAATTATTCAGCAGTGATTAATATACCTTAAATATTTGTATGTGCATGCACATAAAAATATGCATGCTCAGGCACATTACATATAAAAGTTCATTGTATATAGAAGATAAAGCATGTATTACACATAGAAGTGAAGGGTTCATTAGGACATTACATTTCTGTTTATTCCCCAAGTCTGCTTTCTGCTTAACTATTCTACTGAAAATGCTATTTTAAGGTCCCAGCGACATTCTCATTCAAAATAAAGAAGCCTCCTTTCATTTCCTTCCACAAAATTTGACACCTTCTTCTTCTGGAATTATTCTCTTCCTTCAGTGTCTCATATGCCACTCCCTGGCTCTCCTTCTACTTCCTGATATTATCTCCCAGGCTTTTTATATTGGCTTCTCTTCAGCCCAAGGATTTGGGATTTGTGGCTGACCTCTTCAATGCTCCCTCCACACCGGACATTCCCCAAGTGGATGTTCATTCAAAATTAAAAATAACACCCAAATTCTAATACCCCATTTTACTGTGAAACCATGTTCTTTCGTAACATTTTCTATTGTTTGAAAAAACCATGACCAGGAAAGATAAATTTTGCATCATCAGTAAAAAGTGTCTTAAGTGACAGTTTACATATGGCAGGATTTAAGGCAATTCTAAATGAAGCAGGAGCTTAAGTCACATGGAGGACAAGGTCTACATGTTTCTAACCCTCATGATGACAAGCTATAGACCTTAAGATTTAAACTTTATTCTCTATGACACTTAAATACCTTAAAATTAAGCCAAGCCATCCCTAAATTCTGCTGTTCCCCTGGAGTCACAGAATCCTTCTGCTTTAGAGCTGCAGCCCTTGCATCCTCTGGTTCTTTTCATTGTTCTTCTGGGAATCTGGCTTGCTCTCTCCACTCTCTCAAAATTGCTCTCCTAAAATTCCTAGTGTTCTGATCATCCACAAAACCTCTTTTCAGGAAATCCTGCCACATTGGCCTCCCTTATTTTTTTGTAGCCTTTTTTCCCATTGGTTTTAGTTGCACCCTCTCTCCTCCTTCTCCTACGTTCTGATCCCCTTTCCAGGCTCTTTCTGGTTCCTCCTTTTCTTCTTCCTTGATATGTTTGGCTCTTCTTTTTTATCCTTCATGCTTGCCACACGTAGTGACCTTAAACCACTTTTATGGCTCCAACTATGACTCTTGAAACTGCAATTCTAGGTAAAGCTTCTTTTTCTGGAGCTTTAACTTCCTCCTGTAAATCTTCACTTGAGTATCCTCTAAGTACTTGTCCTTGCCAAAATATGCTTCTCCTCTTGTTTTCTCAATTTTAGCTCATGGTATTGACACATATTCAGTCATCCAACCCCAAATCTCTGAGCAGCCTTACCTCCTTCTTTCCCCTGATTTCTTACAGTGAGTCAATTACTAAGCCCAGTAGGTTCTACTTTTTAAATGTCTCTCACAAGTTTTCCTGTCCCACTCACACTGAAATTAGTCTTGAACAGGCCTTTATAATCATGAGTATCAACACTATAATAGATTTTTATATAGGTCTGATAGATCACTGATCAGCTCTCCTATTCTATTCTTCTGTTCATCTTCCTATCCTCATATACAATCCTCTTACTATAGCCTGAATTATAGTTAAAAAATACACATCTATTTATTTTATTCCTCCACTTAAAATCTTTTGTAGTGCTTTCAGAATAAAATTAATTTTTACCAAGGCTTTTAAGGACCGTCATAATCCAGTCCCATCCTTATTCTGCTGTCTTCAGCTTCCATTTCCCAAAGCAAAGTCCTTGCTGTATAAGTCTCTGTTACCTAATTATTGTGTGTACTTTTATGCCTCTGTGTCTTTTGCTCATCTTCCAACTTTTGCTTGGTAAAATGCTGCTAATCCTTTAAGGCTTGGCAAAGCCAACTTTTAATTCCTCGGGAATAATTAATTAAACACTCCAGTTTCTGTGCTCCCAAAGATCTTTATTCATATAAAAACAAGATTTATTAAACACATGTTATGCTTTATTGTATGTGTCTCTTGGTCTTAGTAGATAGTGAGAAACTTGAGAATAGGAAAGGTGTAATTCTCTTTCCTCTCTCTAGTATGTGGATCTGTGTGTGTGGTGCATAGAAGAAATTTACTGAATAGTTTACAAATATAGACACACACCTAAAATAGACTATTTTTTCCAATGTGGAGATATTTTTTCTTCCATGTACATTTTTTTCTCTAGTCTCTTGCCCTTTGAAGCTCTCAGACATATTGTAAAATCCAGTTAAAATCAAATGAATATGGTTATAGGTTAGCTCTCAAATTGAGACTCTACCTTCTTATAAATAGGTATTCTAAAACATATACACACATATATCTGAATTCATGTTATATATGTATGTGTGTATAATTCTTTTCAAAATGTTTTATTCTGCTTATTATGAGCTCCTAGATCTTGAAGATGTCTCTGAAAGTCAAACTGAAGAAGGTTTGTAATCAGAGAGTAATTTTGCATATAATTTTAATTAAAGAGTAAAAGGAATCATCGAAGGAGTTATCACAAACAAAACAAAATGAAAATCAGTAGCAAACATTCAAAGACATCTAAAAAGAACAAAGAAAATTCTGGAAACAAAAGTATCCTTGATTGCCACTGAGACTTGCATGGCTGATTGATGTGGTGGAGCTCCAAGTTGAAGGTTAAGAATGAAGAGCTTCTGATTCCAGGCTCAGAATTCAGCATGACATCCCAAAAGAAGAGTTAGGGATGAGGGGGGAACAATACTAGATTATTTGGCAAGTGATTAATTAAAATTTCCTCAAAGATACAATCTTTAGAAGTTCTAAACACTATTTTTGATTAAGAACTGTTCATGTTCTATTGAAATATGTTTTACAAAGCATGTTTCAGGTAGAAAAGAGGGCCTGGCTTCTTGAAAAACAAAACAAAACAAAAACACAGAAGCAGGTTTGTAAGGAGGTGTAGTTAGTTCTATTCTGATAGTTGATAGAATGTTTTAAGCATTTAAGTCTAATTAGATCTTAGAACACATATGGGTTTCAAAGGAGGAAGGGATTAAGAAAAGAGAAGGCTCACGTGGAAGGAGAAAACTTTATGTTGGAATGGCCAACTTATTTGGGACAACCGATAGTCTTTTTCCTCTGTGTACTTACTTCCCTGGTTGGTGGACTCTCCTGACATGTAGAAAGGAGCTTCTGGTAATTTAAGGAACAAGAGAGGGAAAAAGAGTAAGCAGGGGTCACTTTGAGAGCCAACAAGGAATTCTAAGAAGGCAAGTTAGCATGGTGTCTCTGGAAAGTTATGTGTAGGTAGTTTAAAAACTTAATATTAAAGCCATGAGAAAATCACATATAAGTCTGCTCTAAATCCCTGAAGGGCTGGAGCCATGTATATGAAGTTTAAAACTATATAAGACTTACAGTTTTAAGATAAAGATCAGGCAACTGTTTCTACTTAGGTCTGGGGATTAGAAGCGGGATGTAATCGTGCAGTGGCTCACAGCAGTTGGACATTATTAGCAAGAAAGGTACCAGACAGAACGTAGGTGTCAGTATTTCTTAAAATTGGCTCTGGCTCAAACTGTAATTCGGCATATTTAATTCAAATAGCTATGAATATTTTAAATGTGACACTTTGTTATTTTAGCAAGTATTTCATTTTATCTAAGCTTTGGAAATACAGCATCATTTGGGCAGGAGAGTTCTAGCTGAACACAACCATTTTTCTGATGGTACTATATAAATCAAAGACCATAAGCATGAGAAGAAAAAGAACTCCTGAAGATCTGGCCTTGTCATCTTAAGTTCTGATGTGAGGGAAAATGAAACAGAATCAGTGAGAAAGGCAGAAAATTCATGACTGGAAGTGTTAGGATGTGCAAACGGAGAATTTAGTCTAAAGCGCAGGTGAATTGCAAGCCCCACATTGTGGACTCTGTGATTAACACACCCTGCTTTAGCTAGGAACGCTTTTAAGTTTCAGGCCAGCTTTTCTGAGATATGAAAGCTATGTATACTAAAGGCATGGAGAAATAACATTGCAACAATGTCCAGTTAACTTCATCTGATGAAAAAATAACACCCAAACCTGTTACTGTCCAGGTTCTCCCTAAAGTCTCTAATGTCTCAAAGCCCAGAGTTGTTTTATCCTGTTCACACTTCAGGAGGAGTATACTGTAAAAGTTCTCCTCTTGCCTCTTGCTCAGGACCCAGCCACACCTTCCACTCTGGCCTCACCAATCACTTGACCTCAGACCTATTGCTTATGCTGTTTTCTCTTTCCGTACACTTTCCGCTGTTCCCAGGTCTTCCTCTTTATTCAGATAGGCCTGATTCAAGGACCTGTCCTTTCCATAGCCTTTCCTGAGTTTCCAAGGGAAGCTCTTTGCCAATTTTCCCGTAGCAATTTTGATATGTCTTATATTGCCCTTGCTTTATTATTTTGTATTTATTTTTTAAAGACACTTGTCTCCTCTGTAGTCTATCAGTTCTTTGAGGGCAGGGACCATGTCAAATTAACAGCAGTTTCCAAAGCACTTATCATAGCACCTAGCCTAGGATATGTGGCTCAGTAAATGCTGGGCAAATTGAATGGTTGATTCTTGACTTTCAAATGTTTAAAGTCTAAAGTAGACAAAAATCTGATGCTCATACATAAAGAATAAGAAAACAGTGTCAGAATAGAAAAAATGTAGTCAAAAGAGAACAGAAGTTGCTTGAGCTTCCCAGTAAGTGGTTGAGATGGAGATTATCCTGGCTTCCAGTTTCCCAGCATCCCAGACTCCTCACTTGCACATAGTGTCTTTCAGGAAT